TTACTTTGGCGAGCCTTTTGACATCTGAGCGGCGTTTGACCACGATAACCTGCTGAAAGAAGCGATCTTTAAAGTGAAGAACTAAAACCTGGGCTCAGCGGGTGGGTTGAAGGTCCTACAGTCCCAACAAATCCCAGTGAAGGGTGACTCGAGTTGTCGACACCGTCGGCTTGGAAATGTCACTGTATGTAAATGATGCGTTGTTTTATCCGACGGCTCCCAAAGCAACGCCAACAATGAAGCTGTCGGGATGGGTTGGTGGGGCTTTGAATTTCAATCCTCAGCTCAGCTTTTTTTTTAACTCATCTTTGTAATGTTTCTGTAATATAAAATAATGACATAATCAGCATGTAAGAACAAAGGTAAGAAGAAGCTCTAAACAACAGGGAAAGTTGGCTCACATTGTCACATGGGAGCAACAGCACACAAATAAGAATACATCTCATCCTGAGCAGAGGTATTTGCAGCAGCAGATTAGAGAAAATTGTGGGTCAAGCTGTAAAAATCAATACAAGTCATGATAATAACTATAATTTTGTTCTTTGTTTCTTTCAAAAAACAAAGACAAATGCAACTTTTCGTATTTATTTAGTAACTTTTCTCATCAGATCTCCAAGCGCACGCAAACATTCTGGCAGTTAAGCAGCTAACAGTGACACCTAGTGGCAGTTTGTTAGAATTACAGCTGCTGATGTTTTCTAAAGAAAACTCGTGACTTCAGGCTGTGCAATCAGCAATTTTATCTTAGTTTTATTGTGGTTTGACTTTAATTATATTTATTATTTTACTCAATCTTATATACATTTTTTAGGGAAACAAATTATGACTTAATGTTTTTCCTCTCTTTTTAAATTATGTTTAATGTTTTATTTATTTACGTATTTTAGATTTAATGAAACTGCCTTTGTTTTTGTTTGCATGTATGTTACTCCTCGTCTAGGTTTTTTGTTCCGTTTTAGTCTGGTGTGAAGCATTTCATATTCCACTTTGTTGAACGTGAGATGCTTTGTAAATAAAGTTTGACGAAGATGCAGCGTTGCAAAATTAAATGTTTAATCTGAGCTTGGACACCTGATATACCCATGCATTCATCTGTTGTCTTTCTCAGGGACGAGGCTAACACAGCAGAGTCCACTTTGCTCCATGTCCACAAACGAGCACCATGAGAAGTTTCAGCTGAGCTCTAGAGATGAAACCTGACATTCTTTTGACGTTATGAACTTATCAACAGCCTTGGAGGACACATTAACAAGAATATAGTTCAGTAGATGTTTACATTTCTACACTCCTTTTTACGGTTTTGACAAACAACTCGTTCTGTGACTGAACGCCTCGACTTTCTTTTGAAGTCGTTTGCGGGAATTCACTCGACGAGGAACACGAGTAAGACCAGTTTTTCTGCATGATTTTGTTGGAGATGATGGAGCAAAACAAACTCGTAATGCATGCCAACACGATGGAAAAACACGGTCACGCAACAGACATGTCAGGTTTGATTTAATTAATTAGGTCAGCCACGAACTTCTCTGTAGACCAAAGGGTTCTGGAGCCAAATGTGAGTCCATCTGTCCATCCAAACTGGGCCATGACGCAACAGGATCGCTAATTTCCAACAGAGCAGACGGAAAAAAAAGAATCAGAGCTGCAGAAATCCAGTCACTGTGCAGAAACAAACGTCTGCAAACCTTAATGGACAGAAGCTACGCTGGAAATAAGAGTGGGCCAAACATCCTCCGCAACCATGAAGGAGACTGATAAAGTCCTCGAGAAACACTGATGTATTCCTGCTGAAAGAGGTTCTGCAAGCTTCTGGATCACCACTTTGTTCAACAAATGAAATAAATGACTTTATAATCGAGGTAAATTAGTAAAATAATTTATCCCAACCGAAGAGCGGAAGTGGACAAAAATGTGTGTGGTGCGTTGAACTGCCGGACAGGTTTGAATGAGCTCACTGGGTGTTGTGTTCAGAACAGGGAGAAGAGCAAACATCGTCCCAGATGGAGGATCTATTTTCTCCAAACAGCCTCCCAGTACAGTTTAACACCAACAGAACCCTCAGACAGAGGCTGGTCCATCCTGAGGATAGGAACCCCCCAAACCCAGACTGAGCGGTGTCTGCAGGGATGTTCATAAACTAAAGAACCTCTCCACAGACACATGGCTCGACACCAGAGAGCAGCTGTTCAGGACCAGATGCAGAGGTCCACCTACACCTCCAGGATAAGGGACACTCTGCTGATGACCAGCAGGTCCAGGTGTTGGACAGAGAGGACAGATTATTTGAAGGGGGGTGGCGGTGGGTGAAGGAAGCCAAGTCTCAGATTTAAACTTTCAAAAACTTTCAATGCAGCATTAGGCCTGATTCCAGGTCAGCTCCAGTCCAATTCACACCTTCATGCAGGTGAACAAAACATCTCTATGAACCAGGCAGACGAAGAGCCCACGAGCCTCCATTGTGAGAGTGAGTAGTCCCTGTCTAACCTGCAGCTGAAGAACACAACCAGGCCTCTCATGGCCTAGTCGTGGAGTTCCTCAGGGTTCAGTGCTTGGACCAATGCTCTTTAAATTATGCTTCCATTAGGTAAAGTTCTTAAACAGCATGGGAAATATTTTCATTGTTAAGCTGATGATATACAACAAAGTTCATGCTGAGTCATCCAGGTACCAAACCCAATCATGCTCAGTCAGGTCATCTGGACAGTTTATTTTTTGTAAAAATGTTTCGTCCTCTATCCAGAGTGTTTAATCAGTCTGAGGAGTTCCAAGTAAACTGTTTCCCCACCAAGCAGTAAACTCCTTAAGTGGACCAACCAGTTTGCTGGAGATAAGATGGTTTCTGGGGGCAGTCCTGTCCCCCATCGACTCCACCCAGGCAGGTGGCCACAGCCAAAGTGGTGATGATATACAGTTATATTTGTCCATGAAACCCATGAATCCAGTCAGCTACTTAGACTACAAGCATGTCTTAAAGACATAAAAACCTGGATGACACTTAATTTTCTGCTTTTGAACACAGACAAGACTGAGGTTTTAGTTTTTGGACCTGAGCATCTTGGGAATAAAATTTTCAGCCTTTCTCCCTCCTTAGATGACATTAATCTGTCCTCCAGCTCGAATGTTAAAAATCTTGGTGTTATTTTTGATCAGGACATGTCTTGTATCCCCCACATTAAGAACATTACTAGAACCACCTTCTTCCACCTGCATGATATCACTATAGTTAGGGTTGGCTTGTTATGCTGCTATAGGCTTATACTACTTGAGAACAAATTGACCTAATTTCCTTAAGTTAATTGTTAAAATTGAATAGTTTTTCATTTGATATTGTTTCTATCTTAACATGTGATTCTTGATCTGCCATTGTGTATCTGTTCTTACCAAACCCAGCTGGTCGAAGCAGATGGACGCTTGTCCTGAGCCTGGTTCTGCTAAAGGTTTCTTCCTCATGAAGGAGTTTTTCCTTTCCACTGTCGCCTTCATGCTTGTTCAAGATGAAAGTTCTGTGATGGAGTTAAACTCAAAGCAGTCTGCTCCTCGGATCATTTCTGTTAATAACTTACCTGTACTTTTTATATATTAATGTTTCTGTTCAGTGCCCTGAGATGACTTCTGTTGTGACTTGGTGCTATATAAATACAGTAAACTGAAGTGAATGCAGTTCATGAAGTTTTATAAAGCTGTGAACTCCACACAGAATAGAAGTCCAGTTTATTTTATTTTTAGACCGTCATTAAACCTTGAAAACGACTGACTCAGTCCGTTTTACAGATACTCAAAATATGGAACAGTTTTAGCTGAATCTGACCCCCACAGCTGCCATTACCCAACACAGAAATGACTGCAACTTCGATATTTTGCTCAAATTTAATGTGGTAGTAGATGAGTCATTCATAACATTCCTCAAGCCAAAGCACATTATGGGAAATGAGTATGAAGTTGTTTTGAAGGTTTTACTAAAACAGCCATTATTGTCATCCCTCCTCAGCGTGACATTAGTCACATACTCTGGAATGAAATGTGGCAATATGTGTTCTTTATGTCATCTTTGCTGGAGAGCAAGGAGTTTTCCAACAGAGAACCGAAGAGACTTACTGACTCAAGAGTATAAATGTTTTATTCATAAAAGGGAAGTGACGGGGGGGTTGGACCAGGAGACCCTGGGGAGGGAAAGATAGAGAAAGTATCTTGTGATCATTTGGAGAATTTCCTTGACTCCAAAAATTAGAGATTAGTCTTGCAGTGTTTGTTTCTCTTTCAGTCTAGGAGGAGGAGGCATGGAAGATTCCAGTATTTCCAGGAGTATAGAAGATCTCCAGGAGGTGACTGTGTGTCCATTCAGCAAGCAACAAGATGAAGAGCCAGCGAAGCCCAGGTGTCCAAACGTATCTTACAGAGGGTGAGGCTGGGTCCAGGTGATGGACGCAGAAACGAAGAACCAAACGGGAGCTGGTGGCTGAAACATCCTGACCAACAATCTTAACATTAGACAGAAACTCCAGCTCATGGAACAATGTGTCTGGCGTGGGTGGACCAACGCTCGAGAGTCAGTTTGTGGTCGGGCTTCAAGCTTTTTGCTGCTCTGGATCATCAAGATGGCCGCTGCAGCTGTGACAGACGGGGAACACCTGCTGCTTCTGTGCTTGGAGACTGGGAGAGGGGAACCAGGAACTGGAACCCTCACACTTTAAAGTGTTATTTTAATATTAATCCCTATATTCTTTCATCTTTATGCTAGAAACTGCTCATTCTGACTGAAAGGAGGCTCATTTCAGTTTAAAACAACCTTCAGTCCTGCTGCTGTTCAGGTAATTCACTTGTTAATGGTTGGTTTGTTGAAATGAGGTCACTAACAGGTGTCGCAGGTGTGATTTCTTTCTTTTTTTTTTTTTTTTTTGTGCACCTCCTCAGTTGTTTGTTTCAGTTCGACTTGCCAACCTGCTGTAACCTGAATTTCACGTTGCTAAAGACACGGCAGGGGGTGGGTTTAAGGCATTCTGCAGACGGGGCTGGTTCCAGAGCGGTCAGTGATCTGATCTGAGCTGAAGCAAAGATAAACTTTCAGCTCATTTGATCTTAAAGCTCAGATCTGAAAAGAAACTAAACACCTGCGTTGTTTAGTTTTACATACTCGTTAGTGCAGAGCTCGACGTTTGAAAAGAAACTGGTGGTTTCTGTCAAGACGAGCGGCAGGAGCTTTCAACATGTACGGCGCTAATTACTCAGGTAAGAAACAGCTGCTTCAGGGTGTGGAAAGTGTTTTTAGTTTGATGGATGAATTGTAAATCCGATGATTTAGATTAATTGGTCACATTTACTGAAAGCCAAGAGCTCCAGGGGCATCCATTGCCATTATTGTTTGTTTTATGGTTTTAAAATCTAGTTTTATTAAAAAAATGAACACATCTGTGGGCAGAGCTGAGCACATCCATGGGCCTGATTTGGCCCCCGGGCCGCCAGTTGAATAACCCTGATTTAGAGGTTCCAGTGCTGTAAGACTTCATCAATGGGTTGTGTTCTCCTCAACACCCTGTGCTCATCATCTCAGACATTTCAGATTATAAATAACTCCTCTTCAGGGTAAAACATGCAGCAGTCGAGAATGAAAACTATTTTAAGAATGTATTTCAATGGGAGTGCGGGCCTCTAAGAAAATAGGTGTTCTCACCTGGTTAATCTGGAAAACTATTATGATTTTTAAGCGCACACCTGTTTTCCTGCATAAATAACCCTAAATAATAACTATAACTGACAATAAATGAACTTTATGAGACAAGAGTTGAGTTTGGGAACGAGTTAAAATTTCACAGCAGTAGTTGCAGACTGGGGGGACTGGTCCAACCTGATGGGTCTCAGTTTAACAGACCTGAGTCCCATCTTTCCAGAATCCATCATCAATTTTCCTTCAAGTTCCTGAATTCTCCCACTGCTGGTTTTGATCCAGTCGCTGCAACTCATGATGGTTATTCTGTATTTTTTAACTGGTTTTTAAGCTAAAAGTACATCCCCCCCCCCCCCCCCCCACCCCCCCCCCCCAGTAATGAGATATTCATGCATAGCCCATCCTCATTACCAGTAAATATATTGACAGAATTCAGGAGCTGATGTGGGATTTCACTTGTTTCATTCATATCTGTTCACTGTTTTAATGGAATATTTTGCTAACAAACACATTTTCTAAAATTTTATCGAAAATCTTTGATTATGCTGCAGTGATTGACTGATTTTATGTTTTACCGAATTATTTTTGATTGAGAACATTAATCAGGTGCGTTTTTTTTATTTTTTATTTTTTTATTTTGTTACTTAAGCAAATTAATTTTTAATAAAATTAAAACTCATTACTTTACTCTGTTATTCTTGTCACAGTGACGGTGCATAAATGCCCGGCAGTCATGTTCAGTTTTTTTAATATTTCATCCCGAGAACGGAAATGTTGGAGAGTCATGCAACATAGTTTAATGCACAGTCACACCCTGAAGAGAGGAATTAATTTTTTTATTCTTGTGGCTTTCACGTTCCATTCCTGTGAACTGGTTTGACTGCCCTTTGGTTTTGTTTTATCTTTTCTTTTCTTTCAAATCTTAGCAGTGAATAAAACTGATGTTCTGCTGACCATAGCATGTTTCTATGTTAAGCACCTACACAGGATGAGTCATTTGGAAAACTACTTTACAAAAAAAAAAAAATGTTTTTTAATAAAATTAATAGCTGGAGCACGCTTAGATTAAATGTTTTAAACCCTAAAGTCACAGCCAACTGCTGAAGATCCAGCAGAAAGATGTTTTCTTCCATTTCACAAGTTTAATGTTTGTCAAGCATTCACATAATAAATTTTTCTTGTTTTTTTTTTTTAGGGGGGGTTGTGCCATTTCAACAATTAATTTATTGAATCATTCAGGACATTCCTGCTATGGCTTCTGGTATCTGTACAATTTTAACTTTTTGATATATTTGTTGTTTCTCTCATTAAAAATGAAAAATCTCCATCAAATCTTTTTTGTGCTGTTTTAGCTGTTCTGCTTCAGCTCTTTGTAGATATTTTTCTGATAATTTTATTCATTCTTGCTGCCATTTTCCACCTTTTTGTGATTCTTTTGAATATTTTCAACTTTATGTTCCTTTCTGCTTATTGCAAACTTATCGTTAGCCGTTTTAACTACATTTATTTGCTAATTTGAGCTTTTTAAGATCATTTCATTTTCTGTTTGGCTAATTCCAGATTTTTTTTTTTTTTTTTTTTTTTTTTTTGTAATCCGTTCGGTCTCTGCATATTTCAGCTTATTCGGCTTATTTCTGCTCCGTTCAGCTTTTTCAACACATTTTCACTGTTATTTTCAGCAAATGCCAGTTGTTCAAATTCAACTCTCATTGGGTTTAGAGATGGAACATTTTCAGCTTCTTCAGCAGCTTTCAGCAATAACACTGCATTTTCACAGGAAATGACTTTTCTCTAATTATAATTTCTGTTTGTACTGCGGTGGTCATTGGTGTGATTGTTTTCAAATGAGTACACAGCAGGAATCTAACTTTATCTGCTAAAATACTCAACTATGTTTGGTTTTCTATGTGAATAAACCTCATTTCACAATTAGTATTTTAAATATTTTGTTTTCAGTTAGGTTTTGTCTTCTATAATGGTTCTTTAATAATAATTCAGATTTAACCTGTGGAGCAGCATCATTTGAATAAACCATGCTGGTTTACTGAAGTCATGACCTCAGATTAGAAACCCGTGTGATGCGTTCAGGGGACAACATGACAAGAACTCAAACAAAAAGTCAAAGATAACATTCAGATTATCTTCTAAAACAAACAAAAGCACAACTCCTCAGTGATGAAGAGCGGATATACAAGAAGAAACTCATTTTATTTACCGATGTTACAATCGGGTTTTATTTACCAAAAAAATGTTTGCTGGATTGCCATATTTGTGGATATTTTAAACTGAACTCAGAGAAACTCATATTTCAGTTTTAATTATGCAGTTGTATAAATTTGTAGCTGAAAGAGAAACATGATGGAAGAAAATGTCACTTGTCCTGTGGAAGGAGGAGTTTTGGACCAAAACAAATTGAATTATGGATATCTAAAATAACCCGTTTCTTTTTACACATTAATGCAGTCATCTTAATGTCTGCAGTTATTTTAATTTAAATCTATATTGTACGTGCAAGTTAAATTTAGTAGCAAATCCAAATAAGGGTGAAAAAACTGTGCTCAGCTAATCTTTGGGTGATAGTGATGATTAGTTTATGTTTAGCTAAAAAAAAGTGCTGGAATGTTGTGACATTTCACGAACTTTACTTGAAGGTGTAAGCTTCTTATCTCGGGCTTAAAAAACAAACAAACATTTTATGCTGGTTAAACTGACTTCTGGACGTGTTAAACGAAAAGATCCCCTAAAGCCAGTGTTTGGCTTGTCTCCTACATTGTGTTGCAACATGTGGCCTCTGTGGGAAATGTAAATCCTTCTGTGGCTGGAGTGTGCAAACGTTTTTGTATGTTGGACAAAACTGTCAAAATGAAAGTATACCTTCAGACGCATCACCCTGACACTCTTCACCTCTACTACATTCTTTGCCAACTCCTCCTTCAGGACCACCCCACTCCATTTCTCTTTCTATCCACACTGTGGAAAAACAGTTGAACCCTGCTTCAACGCTGTGAGCCTTGCTGCCCTTCCATTTGGTCTCTTGGACACAGAAAATGTCTACCTTCCCTGTCTGCATCATGTCAGCCAGCTATCTACTTTTAAATGTCGTCTTTTAAATGTCATAGTATAGCAGTAATCACAACCACATGTTTGTATGGTACAAAATTACATGTATAAAGTATCGCTATTAAATTTACACAGGTCTACTTTTGCATTTTTCACTTAAGCCTGCAGGCCAAAATGATGTCATTCTTAAACTCCAGCTGTGGGCAACAAATCACTCCAAGTGCTGCAAATGGCCCTTAGGACGCACAATGGCCATCCCTTTTCTATGTTAACAAAAGAGTTGAACACATCTTATGTAGCATAACTAACAAAAACATTATTTGATGCTTGGCTTTTACCACATTCATAACCTTTGCATTCCACCTGACCGTCAGATGAAGAGTATGAAGTTGGACCTGTTGGATGAAACAAATGTAGCATCATTCTAAGTCAATGCTGATTTTCTTGTTGTTCTACAGATGTGTTGTCAACACACAAAGAGAACCTGATTATTAATGTGCCTATCATAGTTACCCAATCTCAGATTGGTTTCCGTTGCGTTCCTTCTGACAGCGCAGCTTTGGATTATGAACAGTATATTTCTGTCTGACAGGGTTCGGGAGCAGCATAAAAGTGGAGGAAAAGAGGATTGTTCTGGTTGGGAAGACCGGAGTGGGGAAGAGCGCAACGGGAAACACCATCCTGGGGAGGGAGGCCTTCGAGTCGGACATGTCCCCATCTTCGCTCACGGCCGACTGTCAAAAAGCCAAGGGCGTGATTGATGGTCGGCCAGTGTCTGTCATCGACACGCCGGGTCTCTTCGACACCAATTTCACTCAGGATGAAGTGCTGGACAAGATCAAGATGTGCATCTCCCTGTCTTCTCCGGGTCCTCACGCCTTCCTGGTGGTTCTCCAGATGGGCAGGTTCACCAAGGAGGAGAAGGACACCGTCAAGATGATTCAGACCACTTTTGGAGAAGCTGCAGACAGATACACGATGGTCCTGTTCACGCACGGAGACCACCTGAAGCATCAGTCCATTGAGAGCTTCATTTCCGAGAGCGCAGACCTGAAGGCCCTCATCTACAAGTGCCACAACAGGTACCACGTCTTCAACAATGAGATCAAAGACCCCAAGCAAACCTGGCAGCTGCTGGACAAGATCGATGAGATGATCAGGAGTAACGGTGGAGGCTACTACTCCAACGACATGTTCGTTAAAGCGGAGGCGGCCATACTGAAGGAGAAGGAGCGGATCCTGAAGGAAATGGAAGAAGACCGGCTGAAGGAGCTGGAGCTGCTCCGAGCCAAATACTCGGGGAGCGCTTTCTACAGAGAGGAGAACAAGCTGACCATGAGGTACGACTGCGAAGCTCGCAACCGAGCTGAGAAGTCCAACGCCTTCCTGGCTGCGCCAACCATCGCCGTGGCCGCGTCCTGCGGCGCCGTCGTCGGAGGCCTGTTGGGGCTGGTTGGGGGTCCGATAGGCGCGGCGGTCGGAGTCGCCGCCGGAGCGGCTGTCGGAGCTGCCATTGGAGTTTTGGCGATAAAAGTCAATGAAGGCTGCCATGTGCAGTAAAACGTGAAGGACAGAACGTACCAAAGCTTTTCGTCGTCATCAGAACCCGTTCGGTGAATTTATGTACATTATGTGATAAATCTTAACAGCTTTTTTACTGAGGCTTTCCTGTAAATAGATTAAATCATTTATTACACTAGATTATGACTGATGGAGTAAAATATGACTCCATCTAAAAAAATAATCTCATTTGTGGGCGCTCAAATTCACAAGTATGGAAAAAAAAAAAAAAAAATCCAGAAAGTGACTCGGATTACTTGTACTCTCTGTGCTTGTTCTTTGTAGCTGGAAGGAAATCTGTTGGAAACTTTTTACTCCGTGCTTTGGCTCAGCAGAGGATGATGACGGCTTCATACGATTCTTCTAGAAAAGCTTCCAAACGTTTTAGAAACATCTTTTAAAACTTGACCAGAATCCATGTTTTCATGCTCAAACGGTTTTTAAAGCCATGAATGGAAGAAGGCTGCAGACGAAGAGGCAGTGCACTGTTAATAACTACTAATGAATTTAAGCGTCGATGATTTTCTTTAATTTTGGTACACTTTCTGGTTGATTTGTGTAAATCTAAAATGAGTTGTTAATATTTTAAAACGATTCTGTAGTTTCTTGCCACACTTTAAAAAGTTGAAATAAAGATTAAAACAATGTCTTATACTAATGTCCTTTTTGTCTTAACATGCTTTATGCCATTTTAGAAGGTCTCAGCCTATAGATTCGTACCTGTGTGGGATGTTATGACAGTTTTAATCAGGATTTTTAAGATGCCTTGTTTTAGTTCAGATGACCTGCAGGTCTTTTTAGCAGCAGATCTTGAAAAAATGCAGGTGTTCAGGTCCACTTTTATACAAACGAGTTGCAGAAAACCTCTGGATGGAACATTGACATGTTCCAGTTCTGTTCTTTCAAGTCTAAATGATTAAATTAGGCTTATCTGACTTGAACAGGTTTAGCTGACGGTGTTGTGTTTAGGATAAGACAGTTTTTATCAGTTGTTTCTAATAGACAAAGCAAAATCTTCCATTCCTCCTCTTTCTTTCAGCTTTTCCCTCTTCAGGGGTTTCCACAGCGAGTCATCCTCCTCCAACTGCATCCATATATGTCTTCTTTGTCCTTTTTCCTCGCAGCTGCATTTCTAACATCCTTCTACCAGTATACCCACTGTCCCTCCTCTGGACATGTCCAAACCATCTCAGTCTGGTCTCTCTAACTTTATCTTCCAGTTGTTCAACCTGTGCTGCACCTCTGATGATCTCATTCCTAATCTTATCCAGCCTTGTCACGCCTAAGGAGAACCTCAACATCTTCATTTCTGTCACTCCCCGTTCTGTCTCCTGTCTTTTTGTCCATGTCTCTGTCTCCAGACCATACAACACAGCTGGTAAATTTTTCCTTTGACCTTTGCCGACACCCTTTTGTCACAAATCACTCCTGAAACTTTTCTCCATCTGGCCTGGACTCTTTTGCACCTCTGTACTACACTCCCCATTGTCCTGGACAGCGGACCCCAAGTACTTTAAGTCTTGAAAATCTTACGTTCCTCTTAAAGATCTCAAAACTGTCATCGGTGCTTTCATCACCTCCAGACTGGACTGCTGCAACTCTTTATATGTTGGTTTGGAACAATCATCTCTCCATCACTGAGCCCAGAACGCTGCTGCACATCTTTTTAACAGGAACCAGAAGGCAGGACCACATCAGTCCTGTTTTAGCCGACTTAACTGGCTGCCTGTTCCTTTTCCTATTGATTTTAAGATTCTTCTTCTGAATTTTCAAGTTTTAAGTGACTCTGCACCCAGTTATTTAGTGGACCTTTTGCATTTCATAATCCAAACAGCATTGATATCTTCCGGTCAGATGCTTTTGGTGCAGCCAAGGACAAAATTAAAATGCATGGGGGGATCGGGCTTTTGCTGTGGCAGCCCCCCAGACTCTGCAGAACGAATTTCAATGGGCAGATTGTTCCAGAATCCATTAAATCCCGCCTAAAAACTCAGTTTGCTCTGGCTTTTAACTCCTGTTTGGTTAGACTTCCATGTGGACATCTGAGGTTCTTGTTTTAGTTTGTTCTTAACCTATTTTATTATACTCGTTTTAAAATGGTTGATCTTTCAGTTATTTTATTGCTGATTTCTTGTTTGTGAAGCACTTTGGTCAACAGCGATATTTCAATAAAGTTGGCATTGACAGCTGAGAATAAGGTCCAACTGGATCTCGAGGACTCGTGAAAATGATAAAACCTGGAGTTCATTCTTCTAGTCGGTATCAGAAGCTGACGGCTTGAAAATAACCTGACACCAAAGCTGTTGTTTTTGTTTTTGGCAGAATCGAAGAAGAAAAACGGCAGCGCCTATCGGATCGTGTTGTTGGGAAAGACGGGATGTGGGAAAAGCGCCACAGGGAACACCATCCTGGGAAGAGAGGCGTTCCAGTCTGAGGCGTGTCCAACTTCTTGGACTCTCGATTGTAAACGGGTCGACGGGGACGTCCGAGGCACACCGGTGGCGGTTGTCGACACACCGGGGCTCTTTGACACCAACTTCACCGGAGAAGAAGTGCTGAAGAAGATCCAAGTTTGCCTCTCTCTGGCTGCGCCTGGTCCTCACGTCTTCCTGGTGGTCCTGAGGCTGGGGAGGTTCACCAAAGAGGAGGAAGACACCCTGAATATCATTCTGGAAACCTTTGGTGAGGACATCACCAAACACGCAATACTGCTGTTCACTCACGGAGACAAGTTGAAAAAACAAACCATTAATCAGTTTATTTCCAAGAGCGAGGCGCTGAAGAGCCTCGTCGACGGTTTCGCCAACAAATACCACGTTTTCAACAACGAGTCAAAGGACGACAGACAAGTGGTGAAGCTGCTGGAAATCATTGAAAGAATAATTCTGGATAATCAGGGGAAGTGTTACACCAAAAAGATGTTCAGCAGGGCGAAACGGTTGTCGAAGAAGGAGAAACAGAGGACGTCCAAGGCGCTGAAGGCGGTGGAGCAGCAGAGGAGGAACACGCTGAAGGCCGAGGTGGAGCACGACATGAAGCTGACGGGGCGTTCCACGAAACCCAACAAATGTGTTGTCCAGTGATAAACTATTTTCAGATGGCAAGGTGGATACACCTCATACAGCTCCTCTGACACAACCTCATGAAGATCAGGACTCACAGCTGCCCGAAACATCTGGAATGAACACTAGAGGTGCACAGTTAAACACAATGTAGTTCACAAAGTTCAGTTTATTTTTGTTTTAATGTTCTTTTTTTATATATATTTATCTGATGAAAAGGTGAATTTGTTTCTACAGCATTTGCAACAAATGTACGGTGGCCCTTAAAGTACAAAAAACAGATTTACTTTAATGCAGTCAGATAAAAATCCCAGCTGCTCCCTTCTTTTTGTTGTTTTAGTGCTCTCTGCTTCTTATGTAAAATAGTTTGTCTCCTGATTTGCTCTGGTTTAAATTACTTTAGTAGATGAGCAGACGTGATTTATGGTGTTTTTATGGTTATACTATGGTGTGTTAAATTTGAAACAAAGTTCATATAAACTGTTTTTTGTTCCGTGTTCTTTTTATCATTAAAGTTTTTAAAACATGACTAGTTGCCCTCACTTACACTGAAAACAAACAGAAGTGACAGGTATTCATCTTGTTGTGCAATGGATGATGCAATGTGATGTCACCTTTTGACATGTGAAGTTGTCACGTTTTCAGGCCTAATAACAGAATAAATCACATTTTGTGGCACAATTTTAAAATTAGTTCCAAGGCTTTGTCCCAGGCGATTAGTCGGACAGTGAACGGGTGAGAACGGCCTTAATTGGTAAAAGGTAATGCTGTGTTCAAGGCTGGTGAAAAGCTGGGACATCTGAGCCTTAACAGATTTACTGGGTTGTTGAAAGGCATTTCTAACTTGGCACAGAAGTTATAACCGCTATATTATAACACATATGTTTACATTAATGTTACTGGATTTGAAAAATATTTTAAAAAATAAGTAGGTTGTTGTTCATATGGAAAATCTACCAGGAAAAATAAATGTATTACTGGAAAAATCCATTTTCCCAGTAGCTTTTCCACCAGAAGAATAACCTATCAGTCCAGAAAGTTAACATTTAAAAAAACTCAGAAAACTGATAATTTTTTGGGAGAGTTTTTTTTTTTGGTGTGGATATTTGTACATTGGCTAAATCATTCTTCCACTGCAAAAACTACCGGAAAAATATTTTTAGTGTTTCGGTAATCCACTGGGATTATCAAAATCCAGACAAAATAAAACATTTTATTGAGATAGAATGTGAGAAACAATTTATTGAATCTTTTAGCCTGATCAAAAGGCTGTCAATTCATCAGAGCTAATAGCATTAAAAAAAAAAAGTTTTTATAGTACATAAAAAATACTTTTAAGATTTTTAGGTTTCTATATATTCTAGAAACTTTCTTGTGTTTTTTCAGGCCTTACAGCTTCAATAATGTTTGAATTATAAATGTTGAATAATGATTTTGGTTCTGCTGTTCACAAACTTTTAATAATGACCATTGTTTAAAGATCTTATTACCATGATCACCCAGAAACTGTTTCAAAGTATTGGAAGTTGAAATGGTGAAATCATCTTGCAGAAACAGAACCCAAGCATAGTTCAGGATCACCCGAGTCCCGTGTGTTAAACTGAGACAAACTTTTTAAATCCTACAGTAAAGCCACAGGCCAGAAAAATCTTTTAGAAATAATAAAGTGAGTTCTCAGTCTGAGGTGATTTTTAAAAAGGTGTGTTCTTATGTTTGGCCACTAGATGGCAGAAGATCATCCAGTTTTTATCTGTAAACTGTGATTACAGATAAAGAAGCTACAAGTATCTTAAGAAGACAAAAATTGAGCAATTACCTTTTTATGTAAAATTCAAACAATATTTTTGGAGGAGTTAAATAAATACAAATTTATTCTATAGAAAAAATACTTGCAAATATGCTTCAATATTTTGAAAAATATAAAAGATAAATTAATTAATAGTCAGAGCACCCATTTACCGAAGCAGGAGTTGAACATTTTGATGTATACAAATATCGAAGCACGCAGAAGTATTTAGCCTGAAAAAACTGTTGGGATATAAAAAAAAAACCTTAAATATTTTGTGCATCTCAAAGTTATTTAAAGCTCAAGATAACAGAGCTCCCATGTGGTCAAACAGTCACATCCTGCCAAAGAATGATTCAAAGACAAACACTAAAATGTCAACACTCCTTTAATTTTTCTCATTCCAAAGCAGCTGAGATATGCAGTATTAGATTTTGTTGGTTAAAAGTAGCTGCAGTTGTTTTAAAAAACTTGAGTTTCTGCAGCTTTGACTGCACCAACAGCTTTAGACACCTTAAATGATTTCAATGATGGTTTATTTTTAGGAACAACAGATGTTTCCATGATGATAAAGCGTGTTTGTACCAGTTATCAGAGGGACGTTTGTCCTTCAGACACTGAATCTCCTCCGTTGGGTTTGTAGATAAGCTGTGGCTGTGATGAACCAACACTGACCGCATCAGAAATTTGTGCTGATGACCCATAAAACACTCATATTCACTCTGGTGAAATACTTTAACTTCTTCTTTGCTATGTAGAACATTTAAAACAATTTCAACTTTGCATATTTTAGCAAAAAAAATTAAAAGAACTCTGACAGTCTGTCAGTTGATTAATGTATAACATGTTTAACCTGTTAAATGTGTTTTACGTTGTTGACATTTGGACACCTGATGGACGGAGGACATGTTGCAGAGCTGCCAACCTGTTGAAGCGGTGCAGGAATGTTTTATCACGTGAAATAACAGGTGATCAGCTGAAGGTGTGGCTCAGGTGAAGGCGAACAGCCTGAAAAAGCCACAAAAACAACTTTATGAGCAATCTCACACAATAACGTGTGTTTTCAGCTATTATTATAAAACTTTTCTGAAAAATCAATTTATTTATTTCGTGTATCTTATCCTTAGGCCTACTGTTTCTTTTTACGCTTTATATTTTTGCTATTGTTGGGTGTGGGACCCTGTGTGCACAATTTCCACCTCATGGATCACACGTGAAAGACAATAAATTGACTTGAACTTGACCTTTTTTGTGTTTTATAATGTCCATGAACTGTAGCAGCCATCTAAAATTGGGATGACTTTAAAAGTTAGTTATTTTCAGTGATTACTTTGAGTTTCATTCAAATCTATCCAGTGGTTCATGCGATATTTTGCCAACAGATGAACTCTAATATTAAATGCCAAATTGAAACAGATGTTGCACAACGTGTGTGTTGAGAACGCCTCACAGCTACCAGACCAGATTTTAGCAAAATATTTGCTGAATTTACAGAGCTATAGTCATTTTAGTGTTTTCTAACATCAGCCTAACTCAAGACAGCTGACAAAGCCAGCTGACTCCAGATGTTAAACAGCTGTAGAGCATCCATTGATTGCGATGAGTTTTATTAAAATTAGTCCTGTGGTTTATAGGTTTTGCCAACAGACTCGAAGGGTTGACTGCAAAAGTTAATGTCAAAGTAAAAAAAAAAAAAAAGGTCTGATGTTATCAGTTAGAGCTCAGAGCATGTGTTGGAGACGACTCTCAGCTACTACCACACCAAATTTTAGCTCGGGTGTAAAGCTGACGAAGTTCCAGCCACAAGTTGGCAAAGGTGGCAGCCATCTTGAAAAGGACTGGCTATAAAATACCTTCATTGGTTCAGTAGATTTTTTGCTAACACACACTGAATCCAATGACTTATTTTTCTTTGTGAGGCTCCTCGTGATTTATCACGTGACTTGTCAGTAGCGCAGTCATGTGACGCCGACAGGAAACACGAGCGCGCCTATAAGAGTCGGCGGCGCGCGTGCGGCTGGCTCGGGGCTCGCGCGATGTTGCTCCGGCTCGGCTCGGTGTTCGTGTCCGCTCTCCTCCTCCTCTCGGCGGGGCTCTGCTCCGGGCAGACCTACGTCCTGAGTGATGGAGCGGCTCTGGGCAGGATCTTTGACGGGATTGGAGGTCTGAGCGGCGGAGGGGTGAGTTCAGGTGGTTCATGCACTTCCTGGTTCGGCTGGACCCGGTCCGTGGGTCTGAAGTTCTCCTGTGTTGTTTTCAGGCCACCTCGCGGTTACTGGTGAACTACGAGGAGCCGCACCGGAGCCAGATCTTGGACTACCTGTTCAAGGTGAGAAGGTCTGAAGGTGTGTCTGTTAGCAAAATATCCCATGCACCACTGCGCGGATTTAAATGCAACTCTCAGAAAGTAATCCATGCGTTTATTTCTACATCTGTTTTCAAGATGGCCGCCACAGCTAAGCGATTTTACCAAACGCAAAACTGATTTGAACTCTGCCACATTTAAAACTATTGGGCTGAAATTTGGTGTGGTAGTAGCCGAGAGTCATTGCAAACATAATCTGAGCTCTGCACGTTGCATAACGTTTCCACTTCACTTTTGTCATCGGTCAACACTGTCTGTTAGCAAAATATCTCAGGAACTAGAGGAAAGATTTTAGTGAAACTTTCAGAAAGTGGTGTTTGGATATACATCTGAAACTCGATACGTTTTGGAGTTGACTTCTTTCAAGAAGACTGCTGCAACCATGTGACTTTAGAAAACATTGAACTGGCTATAACTGTCAGTTTTACAGATGTTGAGCTAAACTGTATATATGCACCCACCACACAAACTTAAAGGTTGCCTCAACACATTTCAGCAGGTGAGTTCTGCAGAACCCCGTCATTCATTCAACCTTTATTTATTATCCATATTATATTTATTACCTTTTATTTTATTTTCACCATTTTTTTTATTGTCTGTCCAAACAAGTCTCACTTGTAAATGAGTCTACGAGGCTCAATGTTGTTTCTGTTTTAAGTCAAGGCGTCTTTATTGTCATTCACACCACATGTGGTACATGTGGTGGAATGAAATTGTGTACACATGGTCCCAGTTACATCCTGCTATTTGTGTTTTTGTTGGATGTAACTGGGACTCGGTGTACACAATTTCATTCCACCACATGTGGAATGACAATAAAGACACCTTGACTTAAAAAGATAAATTACATTGAGCCTCAAAGACTCATTTACATTTGATGTGTTTTTTGTTTTTGTTTTTTTCTGCTTGCAGCCGAACTTCGGCGCCTCTCTGCACATCCTGAAGGTGGAGATTGGAGGAGATGCTCAGACTACAGGTGATTATAACCACAACCGTTTCTCAGCGTAATCCACATGAAAGTGTTTTAAGCACATACAATAAATTACAAAGTTTTTTTTTTTTTTTTTTTTTTTTTTTTGCTTTAGCTTATTCTGCTTTTTAGCATTATTAAAAAAACTTGAAGAAAAAAAAAAAAACAGTTTATCTTGTTTTTAATTTGTAATTAGTTGGTGCAAAAGTATCTTTTGGAGCCCCACTGTGGAGTACCACAAGTTGTACTGTAGTTAGACTATTTAGATCTGGTGAATAACTAATTTCTTCACACATATCCATAAATATAATCCAGCTAGTTGTTTAAAAACACGTCTTTCAAGTTTTGCATGCTGTTTTAAAATGTTATACCTTTTTTGTTCAGGAAAACTCAAGAGTCCTTTTAATGTAATTTAAAATAAATGTAATGTGCATGTGCTTGGATCGAACTGTTTTTTTTTTATTTTCTCACATGGATCTTTTTGTTCTCGCTCAGATGGAACGGAACCGTCCCACATGCACTACGAGAACGACGAGAACTTCTTCCGAGGGTACGAGTGGTGGCTGATGAAGGAGGCCAAGAAAAGGAACCCGAACATTACGCTCATCGGTAAGAGAGTCCCCTGCAGCTGAGGAACTCCTCATCATATTTTATGTCTGGCTTGATTTGGCCTGAAAACATCCAGAGGAACAGATTCATCATCAGAGGTGGTTAAAGGTTGTCCTGGTGGGTCGGTGCAGGTTTACCGTGGGCTTTTCCTGCGTGGGTGGGCCGAGGCGAGAACTGGCCCTACGACTTACCTGACGTCACCGCAGCGTACGTAGTGAACTGGGTCCTGGGAGCCAAGAAGTACCACGACCTGGACATCCAGTATGTCGGGGTATGTAGACCTCCACTCACTGCAGGATTTAACTTTATACCTTTTTAAAAAACATCCACTTAGAATCCAAAGGTCAAAGCATCAAAAAATGTCTGCAACACGATTTGTTTTAACTGAACATGTTGCGGTAAAAACTGATCTGCCTTCATTCCTGACGTCTCCCACAGAGAACATCCTGAACTAAAAATGTATTTAAAAAAAACAAACCCTGTTGAACGAAGATCTTTTTTTTTTTTTTTTTTGTAAAAGCACACAAAAGAAATGACGGTTCCCGTCCAACCAGAACAATTTTTTAAATGAACCAAAGTTATATATTTTTTCTGTTTTTAGTTGAATACAGAGTTGAGAATTTTAAAATCTTGTAATTATTAAATTTGCTCCAAGTTTCTTAACTCAAACCCAGTTGTTGTTTTTTTATGTGCTCAGCTGAAAGTTTGCAGAACTTTAACATATGTCCCGTAGATTTCCTGTAATTCTGCATTATTGTCATTATTATTGTTTTTATAGTTGGACTGCCTGAAAGCAGATTATTAATAACATTATTATTATTATTATTATTATTATTATTATTATTATTATTATTATTATTATTATCCACCTGAAAAAGGTCTTGCTCTTCTATCAACTTTAATGTGGCCTGAACCGCAACGTGCAACCCCTCAGTTATTACCGGTATATCAAAACAACTGGCTTTGCACCATGATGTGTGCTATTACTTTGATTGGTATTGGGAGTTACCATGGCAACGTAATTTGCAAGCAAAGATGCCATTTTTCTCATTCAAAATGCGTGATTGAACTTTTAACAGCCTATAAATGCAACAGTGAGGTCACATGACTTAGAGGGGAGAGCTCTCTGAACAAAACACTAAATAATTTTTGGAGCCATTTTGGTTCAAGATGGCTGCCACAGCTACCTCTGGAAACTCGAAATTGACAATAACTCCGTCATTCTTTGAGATATTGGGCTGACATTTGGTTTGGTTGTAGCCGAGAACATTCTCCAACACATAATGAATCCAAATTAAAAATCCAAGATGGCCACCATGAATTACAAGAAAAAATTACTTTTTTTTTTTTTTTTTTGCCATGAGCTGAAATTTGGTATGGTTGTAGCTGAAAGTGAGCCCAAAAGCATAATACCGTAAAAAAAAAAAAAAAATGGCCGCCACGTGGCAGTCCCATCAAAGTTTCTCCAGGAGCTTTCTAGTTTTTTTTATTTAATTTTAATTTTTTTATTATAATCTATTATAGTTTCTTTAGTTGTGCTTTTTTAGGCACCCAAGTACTTGAACTTTTAGTAATTTAACTACCAGTATTCAGGTGTAGAAACGTTCAGTTCTTTCAGGAGAGAAGTACCACGGATTTTAGTATTTATAAGTGGAACTTTATACTTTTTAAAATATTTAGCTTTAACTCGTAGATTTTTTTTTTTTCCTAGTGTTTGTCGGCTAGCTTTAGCTCTTGCTTTGATTTGGCTAACTTTAGCTTTTAGCTACGGTTTTGCTAATTGCTTGTTTTAACTTTAGCAATTCAGTTTCAGCTTCTTGAACAAATTTGAGCAAAGCCATTCAACACTCTGCGTTCACGCTTCATTTTTTATTTTTAGTTGCAGATGTTGTCTTCCTGTGTGCCATAAACTGAGCTGTAATAAAATAAAAATAAAACCCTTGGATTAATTCTTCATGTGAGCGCTTCAGAATGATGATATTTTCTAAAAGGACAGAAAGCTCAATGCATTTAAATCTCAGATTTGACCAGACTTTGGGTTCATTTTGCTCGACGGGCTTGTTCCAACACATCCGATAGTTTATGAAATTAAAAATTACTTTTTTCTGCTCAGATCTGGAACGAGAGGACGTTTGATGCCACTTACATAAAGGTAACCAGCCTGCAGCCCGTTTCTGTAAACCTCACTAATGTGACTTAAAAACGAGGAAGAACAGCCACTCGCGTTGAGCTGAGATGTTTTAGCGTTCTCGCTGCGTTCCTCTGAGAACCTGTGTTTGTCGCCAAGGTGCTGCGGAAAATGCTGGACGGACTCGGTCTGACCGACGTCGGCATCATCGCAGCAGACGGCGACTGGAGCATCGCCGACTCCATGCTCGCCGACGCTCAGCTTAGAGATTCTGTTCAGGTGATCGGGTGAGTACAGGTGAAACAGAACACCTGAATAATGGAACGGAGATCTCCGATTGGTTAAATGAACCTGAGAAGTCTCGACAGGGGATCTGTCGGCTGTAATCTTTCTCCTCAGCTGAATGTTGGTGGCTGTTCTCCTCTACTCTGAGTTCATGAACTAACACCCAAATCAATCACTGAATAAAATAAAATACTTCCGTCTTGCTGCTTTCATGTCAAAAATTAAATATTTTGTAGGGTTAAAAAATCTGATCTGTATCAGTAGGCGTCACCTTTACATATAAGCATGTTCTTAAAACTTCAGGTCCTTTTTTCTTAATATTTTCCTTCCAAGCATCAAGATTGGCCAACAGTTTGACAGACTCGAACACGGGGGTGCTCAATATGTCAATTGTGATCTACCTGTCTATCGCAAATCTATTATGGATGGATCTCATGGCAGCCCAATCCATCTATGAAATGTGTCACTTGATTGACGGGACAGGGCAGACTGAGGCCCCGTTTACACAGCGTGAAGCATTCAGCCGTTCATTTACACAACAGCTCTCATTCTCTCTGAAACTGAAGGTTTCTGAGTCCAGGACTCAAGAGTAGATATTATGGGGGGAACCCCTGAAATGCGCCGCAAGTTTGAAGTCGCACATGCGCCCTACAGGCCGCTGCAGTCCAAAGTTTTTCTGCACTAACAACGGTGATCATAAACGGCAGAGAGCAGAGTGTTTATGTGCTGCTCACCCTTTTCCAGCATGTAGGAACAAAAATAATAAAATCCAGTTCCAAAGAGACGTTGGTGTATTCACCAGTTTGTGATCATGCAGACGCTGCGTGCACTATGAATGCAGCTGAACCAGGGTTGCCAGATAAATTTAAAATGTCGTTTTTTTGTGTGTGTTTTTTTTTTTTTTTTTTTTTACACCCTCCTTTTCTGTGCACATTTTTCAACGAACAAGACGCACACCTCATCTTAGAATATCTTTACTCAGTGCATATGACAGTTCATTTTAAAGTCACAGTTCTATAGTCATAATTTCTTATCTGGCAACCTAACTGGCATGGAAACTAGTGTTTTTGTGTAAACCCGCTCGTTTTTTTTGTTTATTACCGCCAATAAACATAAAAAAATAACTATAAATTAAAAAAAGTTTCCCGAGGTTGTTCTCATGTAAACGGGGCCTTATAGTAGGTATGGAAGATCACTTTGACTTGGCCATTTTAAAAGTAGCTCGCATGCTCTAACGTCACACTTATCACCTTAATTCCAAGGTCACAAATCAAGGTCAACATTTTAACATTTTTCTTGTTTGGGCTGTAACTTCTAATCCGCTCAAGAAAGCTTGATGACATTCGTACCACCACTAGATTTGGTGTTGCTTAATCTTTTCGTCACCAGCGTCAAGGTTATCCAAAGTCTTAGCTTTCCTGGGCCGCAACTATAAATTTCTGTGTTGTGGTTTGTCGATGGGCATATAATGCAGTCCTCTTTTTCACTTGGTTCCAGTTCTTTTGGACAATGTTAAAGCAACACAAAAGACCCTCTCTGCTTAACTGCCCACAGCCCAGTGAGGTAGTACCTTAACTCTACAGGCCTGGACAGGATGATTTCTCTCTCAAAACATGATCCAGACTTTGAAAAGCAACAAAACGCCCAATAGATAAATAAAGCAATAGTTTGACATGAAGGCAGCAAACATCCAGACTGCGAGGTGTGAACGTCTTCTCTCTCCATCTCTGATCTACCAGCTGCTGCGCTACACTCTGGATAAGAGTGGTCTGGATCAGGTCAGGATTGTAGCCAGCGACAACCTGTGGGAGCCCATTGCCCAGTCGCTGCTGCTTGACCCCGAGCTCAGCAGCGCTGTAGACGTGATAGGGTAGGCCGTGGTCTCGTCTCTGTGTGACGTTGTGTAATGATATTCTTCACCTTCTTCTAACATGTAGTCGTTTCTTCAGCTGACTCTGTGATTGTGTTCACCTGGAAGTCTGGTCCTCGTGACTTTCTAACCGGTTTGTGTTTTTGTGCTTCAGGGCTCACTATCCAGGCACCAAGACGGTGTCGCAGGCCCTGAAGACCCAGAAGAAGCTGTGGTCCTCCGAGGACTACAGCACGTACAACGATGAGGTGGGAGGAGGCTGTTGGGCCCGAATCCTCAACCAGAACTACGTCAACGGAAACATGACTTCGTAAGGACAAACGTTAGGTTTCGAAAATACTTCACTCTGCGGGCTACCAAACCCGTCCGCGTCTTAACTGGACTCCGTCCTGCAGAACTATCTCCTGGAACCTGGTGGCCAGTTACTACGAGGACCTGCCGTTCGGCAGAGATGGGCTGATGACGGCTCAGGAGCCTTGGAGCGGAAACTACGTGGTGGAGTCTCCGATCTGGATCACAGGTCTGAAAAGCCTTTGTTTGTTTTTCTTGGTAACTGGACGATGTTTTGGATGTAAACATCTTCTTACTCGTAGCTCACAGCACCCAGTTTGCGCAGCCCGGTTGGACGTACCTGAAGACTGTAGGACATCTGGTTCAGGGAGGGAGTTACGTCGCCCTGACCGATGGAAACGGAAATCTCACAGTCGTCATAGAAACCATGGTGAGTCGGGCTCGGCTGACAGCTGGATGTTCAATGTTCAGTCCAGCTGATCTGAGATCAGGAGTTTAGCAGTAGCTGTTGTTGAAATGATCATCACAGGAAATCAAACAGACTCAGGCAAGTGAGAAATGGATAAAGATGAATGAAAGCGTTAAATGTAGAAATAAAAAGCTAAAGCTTTCAGCTAATTGTGGCCCACCACCGCCTAAAACCAACAAAATGGTACATAAGACCAGCAAAATGATAGCTAAAAGCTAAGACCAACAGCACAGTAACTAAAGCCAAAAATGGCAATATGATAGCTAAAGCTAAAAGTAGCAAAACGGTAGTTAAAACTAATGCTAGCAAAATGATAGCGAAAAGCTAAAGATAAAGGAACGCCAAATCAGATTTTTAAAATAAAACATTTTCAGTGATTTAGAGTTCTTTATTTCAATATAGAAAAAAATGTAAATGTTAATATGTCAAAAGTTATAAAGTTTAGATGAAACAAAATTTGTCCAACGTTCCAAACGAGCTGAAAGTTTTGGTGCATGATTTAGCAGCTGAAGTGTAATGAAGTAATTGGTCTAACAAACAAACAGGAAAACAAAAGTGTGAACTCTGACTCGGCGTTCGGTTTCTTTTCTTCCTAGACTCACAATCATTCAGTCTGCATCAGACCTCCTCTGCCCAAGTTTAACGTGACGGCCCAGAATGCAACATTCCAGCTAAAGGGGTCCTTTGTAAGTTCAGCTAAGCTCTTTATCAGTCGGCTGAAGCTGAACGTCGATGTTTTAACTCGTGTTTTATTTCTCGTTAAGACCTCCATCGAAGAGCTCCAGGTGTGGCGTTCACGATTCAACTTTAAAACCAAACAGCCGTCGTTCTTTGAGAAACTGGCGCCTGTGAAGGTAAAGAGACGGAACGCGTTAAATCTGTGAAATGTTTGAACTGGTCACATCTCCACGTGTTTCTGCTGCCGACAGCTCGTCAACGGGTCGTTCACTCTGATCCTGGCTCAAGACGAGGTGTACACGTTCACCACCATCAAGACGGGACGGAAAGGCAGCTACCCCGCTCCTCCCCCGTCCGCTCGCTTCCCCAAAGCCTACAAGGACAACTTTGACATTTGTACGCAAAGATCCATCCCCTCTTTGTGTGTGTGTTTTTTTTTTTTTGTCTCCCCCTCAATCAGTGGGTGAATGAAGTCTGCCTCTTGATTCTGTGCAGTAAACCCTCCATTTTCCGAGGCTCCGAACTTCGCCGACCAGACCGGCGTGTTTGAGTACTACAAGAACCTGACGGACCCCGGCCCTCATGTCTTCACGTTACGGCAGGTTGTGATGGAGAGGCCGATCACCTGGGCGGCCGACGCTGACCAGACCATCAGCATCATCGGAGACTACCAGTGGTGAGACGGCGTTCTGAGCGCCGCCGGTCCTGGAGACGAGAGAAGCCGTTGCCATCTGGATGTTTGTGTTGCAGGGAGAACGTGACGGCCATGTGTGACGTCTTCATGGAAACTGTGAAGACCGGTGGCGTGTTCATAGCAGTGAGGGTGGATAAAGGAGGCGAGGTGGTGCGCCGCGCTCAAGGAGTCTTCTTCTGGGTGTTTGCAAACGGCACCTACAAAGTTACCACCGATCTGGGTCAGTGCAACTGCTCCTAGGCCTGTCGCGATAAACAATAAATCAATTAATCGCATGATGAAAAATGATCAACATCATTTTAATTTACTGGCTATATCGTTTCTTCGTGTCTCTCTCTTTTTACTGAAGATACGGCTCAACTCCGGTGCTCTTCACTGACTCCTCCTCCTTTTCTCTTTAAAATCTGTTTTAACTGTCCAAAATTGTGTTTTTGGATCGTTAAAAGTAGCTAAGCTGCTAAGCTACGAGCTAAGCTAACAGGCCGACCTTGGGAATAAACCTCCGTCTTGTTGAAGCTCTAAAATTCACGGTTGAAACCCGTGCCTTCGTGTAAAAGGTTGTTTTTCTCTGCAAAAAGGAGCTGAGAACTCGTTTACTGATTTTTATTTTTTTATTTATTTAATTTATTTTCTATTTTAATTAAAGGCGGTGTGAGAAAAATACTATGCTAAAGAGCTCAAATCACCGAGCAGCCGCCATGTCACTATCAAGGGCCCTCCCTCCCATTTTTCTTGCACGCTGCTCAACTATCCTTTGTTTCAAACTGTCTTATACTGCCATCACGTGGTCAAAAAAGGTACTACACCCCAAACAAACATTTCTTCTAAAATTTGACAATTAGTTATTGTTAAATTTCAAACAATATTATCGTTTATCGCAATAATTTGAGACAATTAATTGCCCAGCAAAATTTGTTATCGTGACAGGCCTAATTGCTCCCTTCTGCAGAACAGAAACCACAACAAAGGCTTAAACTTCCCTGTGAGTCTCAACTCTTGTTTCTTTTGTCAACAGCTGGACAGACGGTGCTGGCTGAGGGCCATTCTGGTACCGGAGCGTACAATTGGTACACCTTATCAGTGACCGTAAAGGTAAGAAGGAAGGCAAACCATCAACAAACTGTCATAAAGTATGAGATCACAGTGAACTGAAGGGCTTTATCTTTCTGCTGCAGGGTCAGAGTGTCTCCGGGACGCTGAACGGACGTTCGCTGTGGAAGGGCGCTGTGAATTTGAACCAGAACAACGGCTGGGTTGCAATTGGAACCAACTCATTCGAACTCGCTCAGTTTGATAACTTTGCTGTGGTGGCTGAGTAAACTATGAAATAATGTTTTAACACTACAGGCTACTAAAAGGCAGCGAGCTAAAGGGATTTTAATGAAGGAAAATGCACTGTAAACTTGGTCTTTACTGTTTGATTGAATGTTTTGCTTTTTATTGATTTTAATGAATGTGTGAGATTGAATGTGAACGCCTGTATGAAATGAACTTGTATTATTAATGTAAGAGAAGCTCCACATGAAGCTTCTTTATTCAGCTTCTTTAAACTTGAACCCTTTGTATGAACTGCTACACTGAATTGCGGTACAAATGAGAGAGAATGCCATGCATTTGGATCAATTTTTTTTTTTTTTTTTTATAATATCACCGTTTGTGTTGGAAGACTAAAAAAAACAGATTCCTAATTGTTTTTATTTTTATGCAACCTTTTGATGTTCCAGAAAAATGCCAAATAAATTCAGTGGTTTAAACGATATGAAATTTTCCCATTCTTTCTGCAAACACATCTGACAAGTGTCCAACCCTACGTAGTAGTACTCGTCGAACCGTTGGTGTCCATTTTTAGTGGTTGCAAACCATCTGAGCACGTTTCCACTGTTTGATGTTGTGACCCAGAGATGTTGCTGCCACCTCTAAAACTGGAGAACGCAAATATCCTGTGGTCATTTTTAGTGAGTATAAGCTGAAAATGTTGGGTCTGATCCTTCTCACCAGCTCTGATTAGTTTACAATGGAGCATGAGATCTACAGACTGACTGGAGCAGCTTCCGCAGTATTGTGGACTCTGTGCCGGTTCGTTGTGGTGAAGAGAGCTGAGCTGCAAGGCATGGCTCTGTTTACTGGTTGTTCCATGTTCCCAACCTCTATGGTTCCAAATGTATTTCTGTAGTGACTGCAAGAACAATAATGAACATCCTGACCGGCAAGATGAGTTTTCTCTGTAGGACTGGACTCTCCCTTACAAATAGAAGCTCAGTTCTCCTGGAGAGACTCTTTGAGTAGAGTGGTTGTTCCTCAACATCCAGATGGAAGTGGTTCAGACCAGTGGTTCAGGTAAGGGTGGACCCTGGATGCCTCACTGGGGAGGTTTTCCAGCATGTCCAACTCTGAGACCCAGTGGAAAAGCCAGGATAAGCTGGAGAGACTATCTGGATTGGGAATCCTCCCACAAGAGGTGGCTGGACGTTCCTGCTCAAGCTGCTGACGCTGGACAATCTGATGAAAATGGATGAATGGACGGGATGAGTGTAGGAAATGGGGTTTAAATCTGGTCAAGACCAAAGAGGACAGCTGTCCTCTTAAAGCAACTCCAGTTTCACAGCAGTTTAAATGCAATAGCTTTCATCACTGTCAACAGCATTTATTTATTTTTTTACTTTCTGCAGGAACATTTTAATATTCCTGGTGGAATAACCGTGTGAAGGGACACCGACTGCAGCTTATGGTTAAATCATGTGATTTATAGTTCCTGGCTATTTATCTGCAGCAGGTAAAATATTTATTGTTCAAAGCGGGACGCCACCTGAAATTGTCTGAACATTCTTTTTAAAAGTACGTAAATTGTCTTTTCAACACACAGGAAGTGTCGGCTTCAATTAATATATAAAATATAAAACTTAACCATTGAGCTTTAAGGGTTGTCACGTGTTCCGTTTCCATGGCAACGCGGCACCAACAACCACCGGTGGCAGCTAAGAAACATGTCGGAACCGCGGATGGAGAGGGTCCAGCAGGCTCACAGAAGAGTTTTTCTCAACGACCTCGACTCGTACTCGTCCGGGAACATCGCCAAGGTACTGGACCCGAACAGGTACAGGGTTCTGCGGCTTTGCTCGGTGTCGTTAACGTCCCTTCCGGTCCCGTCGTGTAGTTCCTGTGTGAGTGCACGGCGGGGGCAGCAGCTGAGGAAGAGGAGCGGGATGAGGAAGAGGAGTCCCCGCACTCGAACCGACCTGCAGCCTTCCAGGTCGTCGGAACCGTCTCCGGTCGGTCCAGTGTGGTCAGGCCGCACGTGCACGAGGAATACTTGGTGAGTGAACTGACGCGTTTACCTGCTCAGGTGTTGGAATGGGAGAGAAGTGAGTTGAATCTGCGCTTCTGCAGCTTCCTGACAGGAGAGAGCTGCTGTCCAAGCTGATGACGTGTCATGTCGTCATCTACAACATCAGCCAGGGTCCCGAGCAGGTGGAGGAAGCTACCTGGGCGGTTACAGGTGACCTCACGCTCCGAACTAAGGAAGCAGCAACAACAAATGTTTTCATATGGGGGCCATGGAGGGGGGGGTACTGATAATCCTGGGGTGGCACCAACAACCAGAACAGAATTTCAGAAGATTTTGGCTGTCCTCGTGTTTAGGACAATGACTTTAGAGTGACTGCAGATTATTCAGGAGAACTAGATTTTGTTTAATCCAGATTAAAGCTCTGGGAGCTCAAAACTCAACTGTTCTGTTTTGAGGCAGCCTTGTTGGTTTTAACGTTCCTTTTTGATTTTTGAACAGAAAACCAAGATCAAAGTTGGTGTTTCAATTAAAAACAACCTGTACAGACTCAGAAATCCCAGTTTTACAGGCACACCGCTTGAACAAATAAAAACTAACAAAAGAATTAAGGTTCAGTCAAAGTCCAGATCTAATTTCTGTGCTGCGATGGGGCCTTAAGAGCCGTTGTGTTCTGATCCATAAGACCTGACAGGACACGCTTATCAACTAATAATCTGTCGGTTGCTTCATTCACAGCTCTCCATGATCAAATAGACCGTTTTTCTGGGCCAAAGCTCTTCATCCTCATTTCCACAGTGATGACCTGGACCTCCAGCAAACCTTTAGATCCTGTTAGTGAGCTTTTATTCTGTCCCTGACCACAAGTGTCATCTAAAGAACATCTCCTCACTGTGGAGCATTTGTTTTGGGTAACAGGACGATCTGGAGCTTCCATTCACCGATGAGATCTTCTGGATCAGACGAGGTCATCCCAGCTTCCAGCAGCACATGGACCTGGAGAAGAGGGTGGTCACATTAGGCAAAAGTGTGCGTTTCTGTTTCAGCTGTCATCATGTTTGTATTTGTGCAGCAGCAGGTGTGTCTGACTGAGAGGCGTTCTGTGGGTTCTGCTTCCAGAACCGAGCCCGGCTCGCCACATACGTGGTGGCGTCAGGACTGCAGTACGGGATGGGAGAGCAGATCTTTCACTTCTTCTTCAAGGTGAACACAAACAAACAAACAATCTGTGGTCATCTTTCTGCTCAGACACACTGACAGGTAGCGCCTCCTACTGGACATAATTATGACTTTATCCTTAAAACATTAGAAACAGACAAGGATAGTACAAATAACTGAACATACTCAGATATTTTTAGATTCGAGGCTAAAAATCTGAAAAAAATACAGAAAATTACAATAAAAAGTACAACTCAACAAGAGAAATGGCTTTTTTTTTTGTTTTTATTAAAATCCAGTGTGAATGCTCAGTCTTGACAGATTTCAGAGATTTGCTGAAGAAGCTGAAATGAAGTGTTAAAGCTAAAAGTAGCTAAACACTAGCTAAAACTTAAAACATAATGAAGTCTAAGCTTGAAGCTTAAAAAAGCTAGCTATAAACAACAAGTTTGGCTAAAATGAGTACAAAATGGTAGCTAATAACTAAAGTAGCAACATCCTAGCTATAGGTGTCAAAAAAGCTAGAAGTTAAAACTAATATTAGGCAGGCTAAAAGCTGAAAGCATCAAATAGCTTGCTAAAAGCTGCAGAATTACAGATGAGCATTAAGTAACAAAAAGGCTAATTAGAAGCTAAAAGTAGCAGAATGCAGACTTTAAGGCTGCATAAGCTAAAAGTATTAAAAAGCTGTCTAAAAATAGCAAAAGTCCTAAGTAGCCAAACAGTAGCTAAAAACAAAAAGTGGCAAAAGAATACAAAAATAGAGCTAGTTTGCTGATGCAGATTTAAAGAAAGAAGCATGTTTTTTAAATAACTAAAGAGAACACAGTGTATTTCAACCAATAGCATATTTGTAAATAAAATTAATTTGTTTTAAAAGGTTAAGTTTCAAAAACCAGAAGTCACAACAACCTTCTATTGATTGAGCCAAATGTTTTATGGCTAAAATATGACGTGATATCACACGGAAGTAGTTAGATTTCCAAAAAACAAACAATAGTGTGAATGCTGAATCAGCATCCATGCTAATTAGATCATTAAGGAGGCTCCTAAGTTTAGCTGGACTGTTTCCTGCAGGAATCCATATTAACCAAACACCACCTTCTCGTTTCAGTTCAGTTCAACGAGTAGAAATCAAGTTTTATTAAGGATTTACTGAAGTACTGACTCTGAAAGGCTGCTGGATGTTTCTGGCAGCTTTGTAAATGAATGCAACATGTTGCTGAGTCCTTCACTAATCTGCCATTTAAATGTTAAACTCTGACTTTTGCTGCTCCTGGACTTACAGCAGCTTTACTGTAAATACCCTAAACACATCCACTTTGGTAATTAAACCAAATTTTACATAGATTAATTTAATTAGATCAGTTTCTCTTACTGTTTGTACAAAAACCAGTCTGTAATCAACACGAATGATGTGTGTTTGGTAGAAATCGTGGCTGGGACAGGATCAGGAAATACCCGTGTTTGGAGATGGGCAGAACATCGTTCCAACGATCCACATCAGTGACCTGGCCAGGTGAGTCCTCTGAGCAGATGTGAGAAGATGTTTGAAACATCTGGAACAACGATGATGTGAGTTTTGTGCTTCAGAGTTCTGCAGAACGTGATCGAACACCAGCCTCGGCCGTACTACCTGCTGGCTGTGGACTCGTCCCGGAACAGAATGGAGGAAATCGTGAAGGTGAGCAGAATTTGATGAAGTCATTTTTATTTGATCAGAAATTAGGAGCTGATTTATTTTATGGGTTGAAACTTTCATGTATAGTTACAAGTTTTTCTTCTTCACCAGGCGATCTCCTCAGCTCTAGGACCAGAAAAGATCCAGAAAAGACCATTTGAGGACATCTACCTCATTAAGGACATGAGTGTAAGTTGTTCCCATTTAACTGTTTTTCTGGACTCTGTAATCTGCTGTCAAATTATTCATTTTATTGATTCAAAACAACCATAGATGAGATTAGACTTTTCAGATTAGCTCAGATTAGATAAAGACGAAAAGCGGCAAGAACGTTTTTACAGACAGATAAAAGTTTTTAGATCCAAAGAACCTCTCATGGAGGCTGAAGAGGTTTTCCTGCCTTCTGGATGTTTGTTTTCTACTGCCCCGCTTCCCTGTTTTTGGGGCTCCACAGGGCTCTCTTTTAGATCCCCTGCTTTTCTCCCTTTACCTGCTTCCTTTTGGCTCAATACTCAGAAAGCATGGGATCTTTGATCATTGCTATGCAGACGATCGTTCGATTTAAATGCCACTAAAAAAGAAAGATGCCCCCTTAGGCCACGTCTGTTATGTCTCGAAGTCATTAAAGCCTGGATGTACTTAAACTTTTTTTTTTTAATTGAAAAGAAAACAGAAGTAGTGGTGTTTAATTGATCTGGGCCCTCCCACCTGTTACTGCATGTAAAGAAAACTGTAGCCGCTCCAAGATTATGGAACGATCTTCCTCTTTTTATTTATTTATTTATTCATTTTTATTAGTAGTTTATTTGACAGGGGCAATGCACACAAACATAGAACAGAACAAGTCTGTGACTGATGTGTTGCACAAAAAGTATATAGCTATAGCTAATTTGTAACTCCAGTCCGTGGTTGGGCATTTCTACGCATTAAAATACATACATTTTATCAATCAAAATACATTAAGAATGCATATGTATTATATTCATGTAATCAACCTTACAACCCCAAATTCATATAATATAAACTATACATTAAAATACAAACAATTTGAAAATCTAGATAAAATAAAAATACAAAACATTTTCCTCTCTACAAATTCCAAAATAACCTTGCAACCTCCAAATTTATATTAATATCCTTGCACATCCTCAATTCCTCCCCGTCCTCACACATTCAGCTAACACACTAAAAATAGTAAATATAATACTATCTCACTATACATGCTCCCACAAAGACTTTCTCATCCATAAAATCCGAGTATTAAAAATGATCACATCTTTGATTTTCCTTTAGCCAACATTTAGTCATGTAAACAAACTTTTTTTAGTTCAGGTGTAGCTTTGACATGTGGGGGCAGTAAGCTCCATAATGTTGTGCTTTTATAGAAAAAAGAGGTCTGAGCAAACGAGGTTCTACATAAGGGAGTTCTGCAATTCTGTTCTAATGATCCTCTGGTGACTCTGTAAATGGTTTGCTTTTGTATAAATGAACTCAGTGGATCTGGAGCTAACTTGTTGATACACTTAAACATTAATTTAAGAAAACATAAATTACAAAAGCTTTCAAAATTCATTAAGTTATTTTTGTCCAGGATTAAACAGTGATGTAATCTTATTGACTTTTTGTCCATTACTTTTATTGTTTGGTTATACAATGAGATCATTGGCTTAATAGCTGTTGTGGTAATCTGGGCCCATATTGTCATACAATATGAGATCTGAGAGAATATCATGGCATGCTCCAAGATTATGAAACAAGCTCTTCCCATCAGACGAGCCCCTTGACTGTCCATTTTCAAACTCTTTAAAAACACATTTTTATTCCCTTGCTTTTGACATAACCTGAAATTTGCTCTGCACTTCTGTTTTTAATCTTACGGTTTTAAATGTTTGTTTTTTGTGTGTTTAAATGTTCTTGATTTTATGTGTACAGCACTTTGTTGCAGCTGTGGTTGTTTCAAAGAGCTTTATAAAAAAAGCATTATGATTATTATTTTTAAATTGTTATTGTTATTATTATTATTTGTCATTATTATTATTCTCTAATAAACGTTCCGATCTAAACCTCTCCGCTGTTTCTCCCTGATAGGTGATCGAAATTGATTTCCTGCGGGTTGACCTGCGGATGGAGGCCGTCCACATCAAGAAGCTGTTCTCCATCAGCTGGCTGTGTGAGTCTGGCCTGGTGGACAACGTGGAGCTGGTGGTGGAGGAGTACCGACAGAACCGGGGTCTGCTGGTGGGAACTGGACCCAGATTTAAAATCACATTTTGTTTCTGGAGTTGTGCTCGGTCGGCCATGATGTGTGTCCTCTGCAGCCCCTCCGGCTCTGTGTTCTGGGTCCTCCTGCGGTGGGGAAGAGCACGGTGGCCAAACAGATCTGTGAGCGCTACAAACTCCATCACATCAGGCTGAACGACGTCGTCTCTGAGGCCATCGCTCAGCTGGTGAGGCGTCACTTCTCACACACGTTTTGAATCCATTGTATTCAGTACGACCGCTCACCTCTGTGCTCGTTCGTACCTGCAGGAAAGCTTTGTGAAGAACTCAGATCCAGATGTGGATGTCAACGCAGCCGAGGCCCAGGATCTTCTCATCAGGCTGAAGGACAAAGAGGACAACTTTGGTCAGCAGCCTCAACTCAAAGTTAATTTAACTTCTTCTCTCATGTCAGGGTAGATTCAGATCAGATGATCCAAAACTAAAGGATCCAAACAGCCGATGTTCAGAGGACATTTTCAAAAAGCTTGTGTTAACACATTTGGATAACGGATCAACCTGAGTTCCCGTAGAAATGCTGATTTCTCTGTTTCACATGTCTGAATCAGACTCTAACACCTCCTGTTTGTCTTCCAGATGTTTCAGAAGAGCAGATCAAGGTGTTGAAGTATAAGTTGATGTCTAACCCGTGCAGAAACCAGGGGTTTGTTCTTGATGATGTCCCCTGCACGTATGAACAAGCCAAGGAGCTTTTCAGCGGTGAGGCACCGACATGCTGCTTCTAACTGCAGATGTGTGTCTATAATGTGAATTCCCAGTTCACACGTGAACGACTGTGTTTGCAGAGGACTTGGAGGATGTGCCTTCAAGCAGCCGGAGGATCACGCCAGGTCTTTACTCTCTGCTCTCATTAAGTCCAGAAGTGTTTGAACAGCCTCGGTGATAGCTGTCTGTGTGTTCGTGTTGGCTGCAGAGTTTGTTTTGTGTCTGGATGCATCCGACTCGTTTCTGAAGGAGCGAGTGATCAATCTGCCCGAGCGCCTGGTGCAGGAGCTCGACTACGAGCCCGAGCACTTCCTGAGGAGGCTGGCGGCCTACAGAGAGAGCAGCACAGAGGACGAATCAGTCGTCAACTTCTTTGCAGAGCTGGACATCACCCCTCTGCACCTGAGTAATCTGAGGCTGAATCCTGTGTCCTCTGTTGTTTATCCATAGTGTTGGTTCCATCGTGTTCATGAATGTGTTCCAGAGGTCACCAGCAGTGAGGAGCAGGACAGTTGGCTGCTGATGCAGAACATCTGTGACACTTTGGGCCCCCCAAGGATACATGGCCCCAGCAGTCAGGAGGTGGAAGAGGAGGAAAGGAGGAAGACTGAGGAGAAAATGAGGAGAGAGGCTGAAGAGAGGGCCGAGGAGGAGCAGAGGGAGGAGGAGGAGGCCAGGGCCAGGGCTACACACTGGGAGGAATGGGTAGGTGGAGGAGAACTCATCACATTACATAGATTCAGATTAAAACTGTTGATACAAAATGCTGCTGCCAGAGTCTTAACTGGAGTTAGGGTTGGCTTGTTATGCTGCTATAGGCTTAAACTACTGGAGGACAAATTGACCTAATTTCCTTAAATGAATTGTTCAAATTGAATAGTTTTCATTTGATATTGTTTCTATATTAACATGTGATTCTTGACCTGCCATTGTGTATCTGTTCCTACCAAACCCAGCCAGTCGAAGCAGATGGACGATTGTCCTGAACCTGGTTCTGCTAAAGGTTTCTTCCTCTTGAGGGATTTTTTTTCCTTCCCACTGTCGCCTTCATGCTTGCTCAAGATGAGAGTTCTGTGATGGAGTTAAATTCAAAGCAGTCTGCTCCTCAAATAAATAATTTAACTTTTTTTTTTTTATATATATATATATATAGATTATCTCAAAATCTGTAAAACTGACTGACTTATCTTTTTTATTTAAGATTGCCCAGCATTAGTAGCCATCTTGAAAAGTTATCCTGTTGTACTAGATGTCATATATAAAATTTGTTTGGTGATTTATGAGACTTCAACGACACAGACATCAACACGCAAACATGAAAACCTTTTATCTTCTGTGGGCGACGATGAAAGATCCAGATTTGATCAGTGAGCAGCTCAGTAGGAATTCCTCAGTAAATGTTGAATCATTTTCTAATCATCAGTCGCCCGTTCTGTTGTCCGTGGGTTCCATCCATCCATCCATCCATCCATCCATCCATCCATACCCACTTATTCCATTTTGGGTCATGGGGGTTGCTGGTGCCCATGTCCAGCAATCACTGTGCGAGGGGCGGGGTACACCCTGGACGGGTCGCAAGTCCATCACAGGGCCACATAGAGACACACGAGACAACCATTCACTCTCTCACTCACACCTAGGGACAATTTAGAGTTACCAATCAGCCTAACATGCATGTTTTTGGTCTGTGGGAGGAAACCGGAGCACCCGGAGAAAACCCACGCATGCACAGAGAGAACATGCAAACTCCACCCAGAAAGGCCCCTGGACCGGGGTTTGAACCAAGGACCTGCTCGCTGAGAAGCAGCAGCTCTACCAGTTGCGTCACTGTGCTGCCCTGTCCATGTGTTTTCGGATGTAGTTTTTTTTAGGAACAGTTTACTAAATTGAGTGCTTTCTGTGTGTCAGACCCAGAGTTTGGAGGAGGTGAGGCTGCAGGACAAGCAGCAGCTGGAGGAGCAGACGGTCCTGATGAGGAGCTACCTGACGGAGCACGTGATGCCCACACTGACCCAGGGTCTGATTGAATGCTGCAGAGTTCAGCCACCGAACCCAGTGGAGTTCCTGGTACTGCTCAGCTCAGCATCTCAATCATAGCTGTGACTTCAGTCCTCATCATGCCTTTATCTCATTCCAGGCAGAGTTCCTGTTCAAGAACAGCCCCTTCGAGTACCCAAAGTAACAGATTTATTGATTCTGGACGCTCCTGTTGGCAACACGATGCTCCTGCGCTCTTTGGAGATTAAACCTGATGGAGTGTTTCACGCGTTCGGGCTGGGATTAGCTCTGATTTGTAAGTGGCTCATTTTGCCGCCCCTGTTGGGATTGTTCAGCGCTCCGTTCGGGCTCGTGTGCAACCACAACTTTAAAATCATCCCAAAAAGCGTGTGAAAATGTACACAAAGCAGGAAGCTCATTAGAAAGTTAATTTGCTTAATGAACTCCGGAGCAGACACGGTCTGGTCACAACGGCTCCGATTTGGCTGCAGATTTCCAGGAAGGATGAAATGTTTCGAAATAGCAGCTAATTTGCAGCTCTCTCGAGCTCCCACTCGCAGCTCCAAAGTGTTCATAATTGACTGCAACAGAATCCCAAATAAAATAATTTTACCGTTCATAATCGCCATGCAGGGAAATTAGATGAGTTTCCGTGTGAAACACTGAGACAAACAACGTGTCATAAAGTCACATTCTGTAATAAACGTGTTGACACAATGCTCTTACAGCCTCATGTGGTTTTCTCTTTGTCACCAGGACAATGCAATAAGATTTAATTGCTGTAAGAGTGTAAATACGCAGCGTGTAACTTTTACAGGACTGTGGAAGCAGCTCTGCACACCAGGAGCTTGGCTTTGCAATTTAAATTCAGGTGAAATTGTCACGTCTCTGGTTTGTAAATTCTCCGACGTTCTGCCCGCTTTGTTCTCAGGAACGTGAGAATTTGGTTTCGATGAAAAATACATGAAATGTGTTACTGAAGTTGTCCATGTGGCTTCATCAGTTATTGTTAAATAACAGTGCTGAGATATTTACTTCATAATAAACAAAAGATTTTAAAAAAATGACAGCTGGAGAAAATTTTATTTGAGCAATTGTAAGTAAACGTCACAGTTCATGCTCAATAATCCAGGTAAATAATCTAACAAAGTTCAGTCAGGTCATCTGGACAATGTTTTTTGTTAAGTCCTTTTGGATGAAGGACGAAGCAACTGAACAAAAAATATGAAGTCCTTTGGATGATGGACGAAGCATCTCAACAAAAAAAAGATTGTTCCTGGAGAAACTCTGATGGGGACTGCCGTGTGACGGACATTTAAAATTTTCTATTTGACAGTATATGTGTTGGGGTTCGCTCTCAGCTACCACCACACCAAATTTCAGCTCAATGTGACAAAAAATAAATCAATGAGTTTTAGTTTTTTTTTTTTTTTCTTTTAAGCTATTGTGGCCATCTTAGATTTTTGATTTGGCTTCAGTGTGTGACGGGGAACATTCACAGCTGTATCCACAACAATTTTCAGCTCTGTATATGTAAAAATAAATGAGTTAAAGCCATTTAAATGTAGCAGTGATGGCCATCTTGAATGTCTTGTTTGAATTCAGGATTCATTGGGCCTTGCTCTTAGCTACCACCACACCAAATTTCAGCTCAAAATCTTTTAAAATATCCGAGTTATTTGTTTACAAATTACATCGCCATGGTAACTCAAAATGTCTATAAAATAGTACACATCACAGCACCGATCCGGTTGTCTTGATGTATTTGTTGGGGCACACATTGCTGTTTGGGCCACATTAAAGTTGATAGAAGAGTAAGATGTAAAGTTATGAAACCCTTTTCAGGTGGATAATAGTAGGTGGCTGCCTTTCTATCCCTCTGAGTGATGGTTTCCTTCTGCAGCAGATCTGAGATCCAGCAGATCTGAGATCCAGCAGCTCGTCAACTTCTGTCAGAGCTGCAGTCTTCATGACACCCGCCTCTCAGCTGCTTAAAGTCGCCATTTCACCACAAGGTGTCAGTGTCAGATCATGTGTTTGCTGTGAGGTGATGGAGGTCACAGAGGATCTGACTTGGTGGTAAACTGCTGTAAAATCCTGCTAATCCTCAGAGTCTGGAGCTTTGTAAGAATTATAAAGATATCTGAGCTAAAGCTGCATCACCTTCATATTTTAAATGTATCACATGTAGCCATCCTGCTAGAAAGGTCAAAGTGGACCAATTTAAACACAAAGAAATGGCCTGCAGCTGCGACTTGTCCACCTGTGACATCATCCAGAACCTTCCATCAGAGCTAATCCTCTTCATCACATGTTCGTGTCGCAGCATCTGGACTGAATCCACCTTCACTGATGCTGGTCACCGTCGCTTAAGTCCTTAATGCACTGAAGGATCACACACGTCTCGTGCTTGTGATGTTGCAGGAGAATGTGTTTTGTTGCTAAGGAACAGTTTGTGCAGCGTCGCAGCAGGAGTTCTCCTGATTATCATTTTGTTCTCTTCATTGAGGAGGACGACTCGGTCTTTCTTTCTGCACCGATCGCCGCTTCAGGCTCAAACAATTTCACTGATTAAAGACGATGGAAGCTGCCAAGTAAACTCCTCACTGCTTTTAATGTGCCTAATTATTTAAAATAAACACAATAGGTAACAACATTCAGTATGAATGTTTTGTGAAGATGAAGTTTGAGCCAAAACAGCAAAATTGAGGCCTCGGGTTTAAACTGAGGTCATTTTTTAACCCAAGGGCAACAGGAGGGTTAAGCTTATATTAATTCACAAATTAAAATAATATGTTTTAAAATAAAGTTATGATGAAAGTAAAGTAAAAAATAGAATTTAAAAAGAATTATGAAATTGTTAAAGTCACATCAGGTGACGAACTGACGTTAAAATGCTCCAACTACCAAAAACATTTATGTTGTGTTAACGGCAGAGGTTCACAAGACTGGGGTCAGGACCCTGATGTGGGTCATTAAACACCAAGCATGGGGTCCTCAGATAATCTTACATTTAAAATTGATTGCTTATTTCATTTTATTACCAACTGGTATTAAAAAACAGCCATGAAATTATAATTTGGGTGTTAGTGCCTTTTTAATAGGAAATCTTTATTTATTTCAACCAGCTGTAGATAAGATCACAGCACTCTGTCTCTATTGTTTGGATTTGAAGCTGAAAAGTTTGAAAACTTAAGCACACAACAAAATATGAACTCACATTTAAACAGAAGAATGATTTTTATTTGTTAGACACTCTGTCAGGATTTATTTTCAGGCATAAAAGTCAGAAACTCACTCGTTTGTGAACAGAAAACTTTACAAAAATGAGATTTTTAATCAAACCTTTAATCTTTTTGCTCTCTCTCAGAGAAACAACTCATTTCTTTAGCTGAATCTTCTGAAACATCTTTAAGTTTTTGTTGCTCCTTCCTCTCCTGTCGTTCCTGGAGGTTGGCGAAGGAGCAAGCGCTTCGGTGGCCTCCTCATCACTCCTTTTTCATTCTCAGGTAAAGCGCGGCCATGTGTTTCTCCTACAAGCTGGCCAACTCCAAGGAGGAAGAGGAGCTGTGTGCTTCCTCCTCTCCTCTAGTGACAGGCAGGAGGAGCAGCTTGTCTTTTATCAGCGGAGCTCGTTTATCTTCAGAGCGCAGCATCCTGGATGGCACTGAGAGCCTTTCTGGTCACCAGATGATGATTTAAAATGATGCTTTGAGGCAAAGCTGTAGAGCAAACTCTCTGAACTCTCATTTTCAGCATCCAGGGTTTTATTATCGTCTTGTGTTAATAACTAGAAATTATCAGCTTTGAGTAACTCGATGTCTGCCTAAATGTGACACGGAATTAACAAAACGGATCCTTGCAGGCGTTATGGAAGGATGTGTTTGAAATGTATAATTACAGCTGAAAGTCAAGAATCACAACAAATAAAACTTTCCCAGGTGTCACTTGAAATTAGGTCAAGTGCAGAAAAATGTTTAGATAAAATATCAGACACAATAAGTTGTTCACATGAAGAAAACAGGCACCTTTTTTAAAAAAAGCATCAAATATTGAGTTAACTGTTGAACCTGATGATGAAATTAAGCTCAAAAGATTAAATTACCTCATTTATCTGAATTTGCCTGTAGGTAAAATCAAGGAACTTTTTGATCTTTGTGTTAAAAACCAGTACCGTGTTGTCAAATCCATCCAGCGCGATATGAGATATTTTGCTAACAGAAAGAGATAATGTCAACAGTTAATACCAAAGTTTTGAGTAAAGCCTTCCTGCAACAAGTAAAAATTGGAATATGTGTTGTGAGTTGGTTGAATTGTCTGTTCGGAACAGTTATCTGTACGTCAAATGATTTTTGATTAAAATCCATCCATTGGTTCTTGAGATATTTTGTTAGCAGACATAATTTAATCCGTTTAGATAATGGTAAACCATTAAACAAATATCAAAGTTCATGCTCAACAATCCAGTAAAAAAAAAAAAAAAAATCCAACAAAGTTCAGTCAAGTCATCTGGATGTTTTTTTTTGTTGAGATGTTTCGTCCTTTATCCAAAGGACTTCATCAGTCCGGGGAGCCACAAACGAACTCATTCCCATAAGCAGCACACTCGCATAGTGGACCAACCAGCTTGCTGGTGGTAAAATATGTTTTTGGTGAAACCCCAGATAATTGAGCATGAACTTTGATGTTTTGAACTACTTTGGCTATGGTTGCCCGAGGAGTCGATGGGGGAGAGGGCAGGATCCAGAAACCATCTTATCAGCAAACTGGTTGGTCCACTATGTGAGTGTGCTTCTTGTGGGACTGAGTTTGTTTGTGGCTCCTTGGACTGATGAAGTCCTTTTGGATGAAGGACGAAACATCAACAAAAAGAAAACGTCCAAATGACCTGACTGAACTTTGTTGCATTAAACAAATGCATCACTCAACTATTAGTGCTCAAACTATGTGTTGTGGGACTATCTCAGCTACTACCACATCAAGTATTAGGTCAACGCATGTGAATTTAAGTGAGTTATTTTTGTGTGTTTTTAAGGTTAGTTGACTGTGGCAACAATCTTATATTGGATGTCTTCCAATGTTCATGAATGTTAATGACTTGAAGATGTACATCCATTAATGAATTTCTACCTATTTTAATAAAATCTGCCCAGTGGTTCATGAGTTATTTTGCTAATAGACACATAAGTACATTCACACACAGATACAAGCAAAAACATTACCGTTTAGTTTTTATCCTTCAGTTTGGTTAAACTTCTGACTTGCGGTGCCAGTCTTGAGGTATTTTTTTTAGCTGTTTTTGACCAGGAGATGATCATAACTATCAGGATAATTGATGACCTGATGAAAACAGGCAGCCGCGTCACGTTGGTTTAAGGTTTTCAGATTCTCGGGTTTAGTTTTCCGCTTGTGATGGTAAAGTTCTGAACCTGCCGAGAACCACCAGCCAAGCTGTGAGTTCGGAGGAGTAACGTAATAAATCACAGGTCCTCACTGCTGCCCAAAGACAAGCGTGTGTTCAGAGAGCACCCAGAGGACGCTGCGAGGGGCGGATTGGTCCCTGCCGGGCCCTTGCCTCAGGACGGATGGATGGAGGGATTGTGTTGACAAGGGGGAAAGTCAAGGAGGAGGAGGAGGAGGAGATGCAGCCACACATTCAGCAGGGAGGCTGAGCGCACTGGCCAGAAACTCATCAGATAGTGGAAACACCTCCAACATCCCAGCAGCAGCAGGACGCTCACACATCTGTGGTTCTGTGTGTGTATGATGGATGGAAGCATCGAGGGATGTTTGGTTCAACCGTTGTTCATCAGTGATCTCTACAACGTTCCTGCCTAATTGTTCCGGCAGAACGTCAGACAGTGATGAGCGATCACAGGCAGAAGTGACCTGTTCTTCACGGCAGCGCTCAGAATAAACTTCACCTTCTCATGGAGCACGCTGAGATCAGATCTGAGCTGCAGTCTGTCCCGTGCACCGTGCACAGAAAGTGTTTCTCTGAAGCATGGAGTCAACATTCAACAGCTTGCAGACAGTAAGCTGGCAGTTCTCAGCAGAACCAAAGACTTTTCGGTGCTCGGGTGATCTGCTCCAGCAAACATCACCAGAAACTTTTTATTCCTTTTCTTTATTATTTCCCAACTGTCAACCCAATCTGAAGCCAACTTTGAAATGTCTCTGCAGAGAAAAGGTTCACCAGGCTTGCTTCCATCAGCTGGTTTGGAGTCAGTGTGAAAGGTGGCCAACAGGAAGCACTAGCTACCATATTTTACATGACTGCTGCTTTTTACAAGAAACAACTCAGGAATACAACCAAAGAAACGAGGAGAGATCTTCTGGTAATCTTCTAAAATTATGATTTTTAAATGGATTTAATTTGTATTTTATAATTTTATTTAACTTAGAGAGATAGCCTGCTAACATATAAGAAAGCTCTCCGTAAAGCTAGAACTGTATATTGTTCATCTTAAATAGATGAGAATAAAAATAATCACAGGTTTCTGTTCAGTGCTATAGCTAGACTAATGAAAAGTCCCATCTCTGTTGAAGCATGTATCCCTACAGCTATAAACAGTGACTTCATGAGATTCTTTATACATATATATTTTTTTTTAATTAGAGAAAAAAATCACACCATCCTTCCTACTATTGCCTCTGGTTCCCTGTTAGATGAGACAGCTTTAGAAATGTCACTAGAACCTGATTTATGTTTGGATTATTTTTGTCCAGTTGAGTTCTCTGAATTGTCAAAAATAGCTTCATTCAAAACATTTGTGGGTACAAAACGAGCTAAAGGGGTTACGGTGTGGACGACAGAGGATATCAAAATCATGTGCACAACCTAGCATACAGTTTGGCAATTCGTACACCAATGACAACAGAACCAGTGCCTGCCACTTGTGAGGAAATTGAGAACACCGCAAATGTTTTGAGGCATTTCAGAAATGTCTTTGTTGTTTGCGACTTGTTCTTAACAGTTGCCCTCCAGTGAGATACAGAGCTGGACCTGTGTTTAAACAGAAGGAACCAAGCTTATCACACATTTCTTCTAACTGGTTCAGTTAGATGGTAAATTTCTCTTCCTGGTTCTTTTGGACACATTCTACTTTTGTTTGGTGTTTGTTTTGGTTTTAATGGCTCTTTCTTCAGCAATAAGTTCAAAAATTGAGCTTTAAATGAGTGACAATGGATCAAAGTAACTGAAAGTACAAGCTCTGTCCTGAAATCAGAAAACATCAGAAAGTTACCATAGTTCAAACATGCGCCTTTAAACACTGAACATGAGGCAACATGAAGTGTTTTATAAGGCTCAGGACAAGGTTGTTCAGGTGCTCAGGTTGCTCTACTTCACCTTTTATTACTGAGATTTAGAGTTTTATGGTTATTCTTCACTTTCGTGAGTCACATGTTCAGACCAGAGTCACCAGGAGGCTGCATGAGTCGTAGACGTGTGCTTCTGTGTGGCTTCTGAGCAGATCAGGGCAAGGTTAGGGTTCTGTTGGGTCCGATTGAGCTCCCAGAGTTTTCTGTTTGGAGGCGGCTGGCGTTGGCGCTGCAGCATTGGGCGATCTGCACCTGCAGCCGCGTGTGCGTCTCCGTCAGAAGCTCGTCCTGTTGGTCACACACATGGATGCAGGAAGTGAATCAAAACTCTGCCCATGACAATAAAATGCTCTGTTTTCTGTCAGATTGAGAACTTTACAACATGAAGACGTGAGAAGTGGATCAGGACGATCCTGAAGTGAGAAACGTTCAGAAGTCAAACTTGTTTTTTTCAAAAACAAGTGCAAGTTTCATAATCAAAGTTTTAAGACACTTTTTTGGGACACATTGTCTTGGAGTACAGCTGCAGTCTGACTCTGGCTCCCCCCCACACACACACACACACACACACAGCCCCCCCTTCTCCACGGCGGTCTGCAGCAGAGCAGTTAATAAAGAGATTGATTATCAGACTGTCAGGAAGTGACAGTTGGACAGGGCTGCTCCGCGTGAATGACAGAGGGCACGCTCACCACGCAGCAGCACACCTGACGCACACACACACACATGTGCACACACACGTGCACATTGAGGCTCTGCCAACATAGAGAGGAGGTGAGACAGAGGGTGAGGGAGGCTGGATGGGTGAGAGGCGAGCATGTGGAGAACAAAAATTCAACCTTCTGCTGGTGGAAGGCGAGTGTGTGCTTGTTTATGTTACTTTGTGAGGACCATTTTTCAACACATAGTACATTGTGAGGACCAACTGCACTTTGTGGGGACCCAAGCCCGGTCCCCATAAGGTTCAAGTGTTATTGGTGGGCTAGGGGTTAGGTTTAGGTATGTACTGGTAATGGTTAGGTTTAGGGTCAGGTTTGGGCTATAGAAATGGATGAAAAATGAATGGAAGTCGATGCTAAGCCCCTGTAAATACAGCAAGACAAACATGTGTGTAGGCGTGTGAGTGGTGGTGTTGAGGGGGGTCAGAGTTCACAGTCACCCCCTTATGCTGAAAGGGATGCCAGACCTGGAAGCCAAATGGGTCAAAGAAGGTTCAGGACCACTCCCCCCACCCCGTCTGTGTCATCTGTTTTGAACAAGTCTGTATTCTACAGAGCGTTAAAAGCCAGGGAATAAAAGTGGGTTTTTAAGTGAGACTTAAAAACAGTGAGAGAAGGGGCCTGCCTGACGAGCAGTGGTAACTCATTCCACAGTCTTGGACCTGCAACAGAGAAAGCCCTGTCACCTCTGAGCTTACGACGGGTTCCTGGAACTGAAAGAAGCATCTGATGTAATGACATCAGAGAGTGCTGTGGAACATATGGCTGCATAAGATCAGTAAGATAGGAGGGGACAGAACTGTTCAGAGACTTAAAAACATACAAGAGTATGTTGGACTGAATTCGAAGGGGAACTGGGAGCCATTGCTGGAAGGCCAAAACTGGTGTAATGTGCTCTCTTTGGCTTGAACTAGTTAAAAATCAGGCTGCAGAATTTTGGACAAGTTGTAGTTGTGCAATGGAGGTCTGACTGATACCAAACAGAAGTGCATTGCAGTAATGGAGCCAAGATGTTATGAATGTGTGTATTACTGTCTCCAGGTTATTTTTGGACAGTATGGGCTTCAGCTTACACAGTCGCCTCAGCTGGAAAAAACAGGATTTAACAATCATGTTTAAATGACTGTCAAGTTTCATGGAAGGATTCATTATCTCTCCCAGATTTGTAACTCTTTGTTTCTCTAACAGGGCTAGAGAGGAGAGGTCGATACCGTGGTTCTTGACCGTACCATTAGGAGGTAACAACATGCCTTTAGTCTTTTTCTCATTAAAGCTTAAGGAATTTAAAGACATCCAGCCCCTGATGTCAGCCAGGCAGTCAAGAAGAGGTCGAACGTGTACCACTGCGCTTCAGGGGGGAAGTAAATTTGACAATCGGTGTAGAAATGAAAGGGTATGTTGCGTTTACGGAAAATGGCACCTAGTGGCAGCAGGTAAAAAGAGAAGAGGACCGAGGATGGACTCCTGCGGTACCCCCCACAAAAGAGTTGCCGGTGATGAACTAAAATCCTTAATGTTGACACAAAAGGTAAAGCAGGAACAAACCTTTTGATTTAGAAACACTGAAAGCTTTTATTTCAGACAACTGATTTTAAATTCTTCTGAATCAAACTAAATAAACGTGTAGTGCTTATAACGGTCTCTAAAGAAAACTTTGCATATTTTATTTATTTTTTGATTATTAAAAAGGTTTTCATAGTATAATAACTAACAAAGATTTTGTTTCTAATACTCTCATTTGAATTTAATGTTGAATACTTTATTTTATTGTTGTATTTTTTTTTTTTTTTTTTTATAAAATCATATGTTTCCTGCAAATTCCACTCAAGTTTTAAAAGATCAATTAAAACGTTCATCGAATGTTAAACTGGTCGGCGTTTTAGTTTCCATAACCAAAGAATAATCCAAACCTGCAGACGTGACAGATCTAAACCAGGTGATAAAGTGAACAGAAACAGATTGATGTCAAACATCATGCATTCATTAATGTTATAGTTTATTAATTAGATTAAATTAAAATCAATTATTAAGGTCTGATCCCTAAGATGGAAATGAAAACAAACTTTCAAAGTGCAGGATGCTCAGCTGCACATGGAGACAAGAATTTTATTGATCTACATTTCAGTTTTTCTCAGCATCAGCAAAGTGTTGCATTCAGGGCCCAGCTGTTCAGCACACCTGTGACTGATGAGCTCAACAGAAAACCGTTTCTTTTGAGACATTTTTTTTCCCATAAGGGTTCTGATTTCTCACTAAATATTAGTTTTTATAAACTCCTGTGTCAGATGATGTGTTTTTAGAACTGCCTTTGAAATTTTTATATTTTTAAGTTTTTGTTCTGATCCCAAATATGAGACAACAAATAAAATAATTATTTTTATCTTCAATGCAAAGTTTTCAGTTCAATCAATTTATGTTAGGATTATTTTTTATTTTAATGTAATAAAAGTATGTTTGAATATGCTTCTATTGAGCTGCTGTAATTTTGATCAATAATCTGTATTTAAATAAAAAAAACCAGCATATCTTTTATCCATTTTATTGTTAATTTAGATATTAATTATTTTACTTACCTGCTTCAAATTCTAATATTTTGACTCTTTGGTGCTTCTTTGGAAAACTAAGAAAATTACTTTTTGAAAGATGGGTAATGATGATTTTGCCTGTGCTTGTGTGGATGTCTGTTAGAAAATATTTCACATGCTACTGGATGGATTTCTATGAAGTTCTCATTATGTAATCAATGGGTGCACGTCTATTATCTGATAAGTTCTGAAGTCAATCCAATTCAAGATGGAGGCCACATCCAACAGCATGGCAACAACCCAATCAACTTGACAGATAATGGACTCAAATTTGGTGTGGTAGTAGCTGAGAGTCATCGCTAAATCATGCTCTTAAGTACAACACCCGCTTCAGATGTTATCAGCCATTAAATGGCCGTTATCAGTACAAATTGCTGCTACAATAAACTGACCTTATTCAACACAAACATGGCTGTAACTCAGTCAGTTTTACAGACTTGGAGCTAATATTTGATGTGGTAGTAGCGGGTAGTTATCCCCAATCACATACTGTGAGAGCTAACGGTTCACATGGCAACTTGGTTTAAGAGTTTATTATGCAAGGCAGCAGGTGTGATGTGCTTTATTTATACAAAATGCTACATAAATTTCTACAGACAAAGATAAAATGCTTTGAGTTTTATTTCATAAATCAAAGTTACATAAATTTTGTCCGCTTAAAGTATTTTAACTTTTGGGCAGTAGTTCAGTGACTTTAGGTATCCAAGTGGTTCTTCAGCGTTTGAAGAGTGGCAGGATATATTTTTATTTAAATTCATCCCTGTTGGCTGCATGGAAAAATCACGTAATCCCTGATCTCAGGTACCGTATTTTTCGCTGGATAAGTTGTGGTGTTTTGCATAATTTGCATGCCCTGTGACTTATATGCCGAAACAACATATTTATGGATTTTTCCACTTTATTAGACATATTTAGACTGATGCGACATAGGTTGGTGCGACATGTACGGCAGAAAATACAGTAGTCAAGTCATGTGATTTTACACTTCACGTTTCTTGATTTTGTATTATTTATGTCTCTAGTTCCAGAGCAAAGAGTGGACTTGGAAATACCCTCTGTCCATATTTATGTTAGTGTTGTGAGCTGGATTATGTAAACCGCCCACCCTGATTATTTCTAGTTTTTATATTTCTCAAAAGTATATTTTCCTCAAATTATTGGGATGATTGAAGATTAATCTATGGCGGCCAAGGCCACCACTGGCCACCCCCTGGCTCCGCCATTGCACCTGATTATGGATAAAATGTCTCCCTCCACCCTGCAGGATCTGTCACTCTGCGCTGCCTCGGACAAGAAAATTAAAATTACTCATATTCTTATACACAGTGAATATCTTGTACAAAAAAACATTAAGGTGTACTTGCATTCTGTGTTCAATTCCAGTTGAGAAAAACACTCATCTCCAACAAACTGGGTAAAAAAAAAAAAAAAAAACACTCAACTGAGAGCATCACTCTTTATCAGACATCAGTTCACTCAAACAAGATCACACATCAGCCCTATTTTAAGGAACAACCCTCAGGTTTTTACAGTGTGCAGGTTGTGTGTGCGTGTGTTTGTGTGTGTGCGTGTGTGTGAGGAAGTCTAAAAGATGAAGGGATGATGAAAAAGGATAACAGTAGAAATTCTCTGATAATTGGAGCCTTAAAAGCAGCTCATTTTTAACGATGTCACCACGACGGCTCGATGACAATTAATCTGTTTGCGGCTGCTTCCTGGCATCTGTGCCAATTACTTTATATGCTAATGTATGTAAATGACACCTCAGACGCCAGTCGAGAGCATCATGCGTGTGGCGTATTGTCTGTTTTTTTTTTTTTTTTTTTTTTAAGTCATATTGTTGAGGCTGATCAACAAAATCCATCCTTTAAATCTGAAGGTGTGGAAACTTCTGAGTTTCATGATGGAGTTTCATTTTCTCCAATTTTTTTTAATCTTTACAAATAAGTATTCAGATTTTGCAAACAAGTAAAAAATACAAATA